CCTAAATCTTGTGGAGCTTCCTATTCAGGCAGAAAACATCGTGGACTTGCTGGGGTTCAGCAGTGCTGCTGGAGTTAGGTACTGCCCCTTAGAGAAAGTGTGTTTTCCTTTCTTTTCAGAGAGCAGCACAGGGGGATTCACTGAAACCTGCCAATGGCACCTGTCTATTGTGCTGTGCTCTGTGTGGCAGCATGTGGGTGGGCAGCAGCAGCTTCTCAGGGTGATACCTGTGCCAGCAAAAATCCTTGCTGCCAAGCAACAGGAGACCCAGAGGCTCTCTGCCTTCCTGAGGTGAGTCAGGCTGGAACGGTACTCTGGAGCTGAGGCTGCAAAGGGCTCAAAAGGCTTGGCAATGTCTTAGTCAAGGAGTTTTACATTTTTTATTTTCACAGAGTTTTAAGAAACAGCAAAACCTCAGCCCTAATGTTACATAGCTCCAGAATGTACTTGTCCTTCTTCGGTTATCTGACCTGACCATTTTCTGCCTTCAGAAAGATGCTCAAAACTGCCCTTCAGAGGGAGGTTCTTGCCAGGATTTGAGAGCAGTGTGGCAGGGGGAGGCAAGCCAACACCAGCTCACCTCCATCCCAAAGGGCTCCCAGTGCAGCACTGGCCTCAACTGCTGATGGATGATTGCTAGGGACATAGGCCTGGACCCAGCAGAGGGTGGCTTTATGAGTGATATTGGTGCAAAGCACATTAGTCTTGCTGTGCTAATTAATTACTAACTACACCCCCTGAGGCAAGTGAATCAGCAGAGAGCATATAATTAAACCAGTATTGTTTTTGATATATTTTAAACATTCTTCTGGAATTCTCCACATGGAAGAAATAAAGAGGGCAGCAATGATGAAAGGTAGTCCATGTGAACACCGAGTATCATTTTAATGCTACTCAGTCCTGCCTGCTACCATCACATTCAGCACAGTTATTTAACATCTTGACAAGACTGGCCTCTTTTTTTTTTTCTTTTCTGTTGCCATGAAAAATGAAGTAATGATCCCAAAGCATTGTTCAAATGAACACTTTAAGTGGTAAAGAAGGAAACAAAGCCTAAAACATCAGAGGGACAAGAAATAATGTGCTCAGTGTTTGTAAAGTGCTCCCTATGTGCCTGGCAAAGAATTCAGAAAACAGGTTCCCAAAAAGTTTTCTGTGTACTTCCCAGACTGATGAGGCCAGCTGCAGTTGCCTTTTTAGGGTGCTTCTTAATAAATCCTCTCTTAATTAGATGCTCTTGTGGCTAACTTTCAGCTCTAAAGCTCATAGGAATTTTAATCAGTTTAGCCTCTTTTGAGTGAGGACTGCATGAAATGTATCCATGCATCCATCCTGACTGGCCATTTGGTGATGTATCTGTTTGATCTGCAAGGCTGGCAGAGAAAACATGAGAATTATCAACTCAGCATACAGCAAGTCAAGGCTGGGAGATTACCCATTTAAGATTGGACATGTTGAAACTGTTCCTGGTATCAGTACATTATTTATTACATTCCTCAGTATAGTCTGACAATGGCCTTGGCCCTTGTTCAAGGCTGAACGGCTCAGCTCAGCACCAGGCACCTCAGCGGGATGCTCAGCATGCCCTGCAGGGGAGGTGCTGTCAGCTGGTGGCAGATGTTTGGCCGTGTAAGGCTGTTTTTCCCCTAAGCTTTGAGCCCTGCCTGGCTCTCTACATGCTGCTCTGCCTTTGCAAAGAATGCTTAAAGCAGCTCAGAACAGTGAACCCTTAGGGATGTGGAGCCATGTGGGATTGCAGATAGTGGGGAAGGAGGGAAATATCTGACTCAGAGTCTCCTTTATTTCCCCTCTCAGGCATAACAGGGTCTCCGGCCAGGCTAATGACACAGTGGGGTTTGTGTTGCTTAAGCGAAGTACCAGCATGGTGGTGAGGGTGAGGATGAAGCTGAGGGGAGCCTGCAGAACTCTGGGGAGTGGTGGCACTGCTCTGTGTGCTGTCTCTGCCATGCTTCCTAAGACATGACCCCTCCCCTCCATAGTTTTTGGGGAAAACAGCTATGGCAGCAAGACCCCCTCCCTTCTCTCTCAATAGCCCAGTCAGTCTAGCATATGCTTCCTTCTGGGCAGAGAAAAGACGGTTACTAAACAGTAAACCCACATTCCCAATGGGTATGTTAGGGAGCTGTGTCATCTGAAAGGCGCAACATGGGACAGCTCTGATGTAAACATTGCACAGGCCAGAAACGCAGCAGCAATTAGAAGACAATCTGCAACATTCATGTCTAATGCTGACCTTGGACTTCTGCCAGCAAAACCAAGGTAAATCCATTACAGAGCCTTACAAGCAGAAAAAGGTTTTCACTCAAGTATGTAACTTAGATGTCCTGCCTGTACTCAGCCCCCTCTGCAGTACTGCCCCTGCTACATCCCCACCTATTTGCCAGCAAGTACGAGACAACTCCATTAACACTGCCCTTTCCCACAGACTCTCCTGCTGGTTTTTTTGCCTGGATGGTGATTGCTGGAGTGGCAAGGTACCTCCTCATGTCAGCTGCCATCGGACAACCCCCTTGCTGCCCAGATTGCGTCTTTGAATCTCCTTCCATCCCTTTTTCTTTTAATTCCACAGCCTTGGAGGGCCTCACAGAGGAGTAGCTTGGTTGGTGTTAATGCCATGGTATAAATCTCTTCTCGCTCAGTGAGATCAAAATTAGGCTATTTGGGGCCAAATTCTTTTAGCAGCATAACTTGGCAGGGCTTCGTTGCCTTCTGTAAATGAAGACGGCCGTTGCATTTATATCAGATGGGTGGCTAATTGCTTGGCATTCCTTGAAGATATGAACAGACGGCAGCATAACTGATAATTCATCTCGGCTGCTCTCAGCAGAGAAGTAGCAGATATTTGCATCCACTCCTGTTATGTATTTGGTCGGTGCAGTTTTCTGGTCCTGAGCTCCAGACAAGTGCTGAGGCATGAGCTTTCCTTTCAGCAAGGAGAGCGAGATTACTCCATTGCTGACAGTGTCCAGGACAGTGGTGCAACATCAGAGTGCTCTGAGATACTATCACCTCAACCCCCCCCCCCCTCCCCCAGTGTTTCTCTCTGATCTGGTGGTCTCATTTTTCACCACTTCAATCTCCAGAACAAACCTATGCCTGGTCAGCTCATACCACATTTGTTCTCATGCTAACACTGCTCTTTAATTCCAATCAACCTGATTCCTTTGTGCTCTTCACAAGGTGAACAAGCAAAGTTTATTTAATCTCTTCTTGTTAAATAAACTCATCAGTCCCTGACATCTGTGTGCCTTGCTAAGTCCCTTCTCATTTGGCATCTTTTTTATATGAATGGAAGTCTTACAAAGGTTTGTGCAATGCCACTAAACGTTCTTTGGCTTTTACAAAGCCATATCACACAGAGAAGCTGTTCCCACTAATCATCTCAGGTCCCAGTGCTCTTCTTAGTCCCAACTTAGGAGCTTCGAATTTACATCAATGCTTTTGCCCTCAACCCTGCACACTGCACCCACGGGAGTGCATCCCACTTCTGCCACCACCATGAAGTCTCTACAGGTGTTACTGCCAGGAACAGCCAGCTTCACAAACCAATGCTTGCCACCACTCCTGCTTCTTGTCCAGGAGTACTCCCAAAAACAGTGAGAGCATATGCACGACCAGCTCCTGAATTCCCCTAGCATTACCTCCTACCCACTGGTTTGATCCTGACATACCAAGATTGTCTTTAGTTTTCATTGCTGAACAGCGCATCACAGAAACCTCAGGCCAGTCCAGCACACCTGCTCTCCACCCTACTGAGTTTTTATTTTTATTTTTTCCTGCTTACCTTTGAATGTGTTCTTTCCTTTAAAACTTGTTCTTTTCCACCTCGAATCAAGATACAAGGGTGCTTATCTGGCCAGACTGTGCCCAGTTGCCCTGAGGGAGGCACCAACACTGCAGTTCAGTCCAGCAGTCTTCTCCACACTGTGCAGAGATCCTGGGGTACTGTTCTGCTCAAATTCCGCTTCAGCTGCAGGTGTCAACATTTCTGCTTCTGTGCAGCCTCTCCCCTCCTGCCTTCCCCTATTTTCAGAGCCCCAGCATTTCATTCTAAGTTTGCAGAAAGCAGGCACAGGCGAGGAAGGTAGAGCACACCAAGCTGTTATCATTCTCATCTGGCAGAGTATTTACTAGATAACATTGTCCCAGCAATCAGGTTTGGAGCTGGTGACCTGCATGTTTTTCCCCACTGAGGTAGACTCACACTTCCTTATTACCAGTTTCTTTCTGATGTGATTCAGCCAGCACCAGAGTTTTCATCAAGGGCACGACGAATAAAAGATACCTGCAAATCTTCCAAGTCACAGGAACTGAATACACTGCTATAAGTATACTTAAATTTAAGTATTGGAATACTTATAACGCTACTTAGAAACCTATAACCTAGGTCAAGGGGAAGAAAATTACTCCAATTGTTTTTTAAACTCCTGAAACAAGGCAACTCCAAATCGATGCTTTATGTTCACCAATTATAAATGCTTATGAGGTAAGAAAACGCTGGAAAGGAAAATAAAATTGTTTTGCCTGACGAATCTGTTTAAGTCACAGGAGTGAGCAGTGATTACATTGTTATTTATAATATTTCATGCAGTATGCATTGCCAAATCCACAGTCCACAGGCACAGATATTTTAGGTAGTTTTCACGCAAAACTGTCTCTTTTTTTTTTTTTCCAAACCCAGACGTTTCTTTCAACTGCTGTTCTTTCTGTGTCCTACACAGAGCTTTCAGTGATAGGCATGGAATAAGAAAAATGTCCTTGTGCCAAGGACACAACAGAAAGCCACCTCACTGTACTCCAGGTTCAAAGTCTCTACATTGCACTTCATAAAGACACATTTTAATAAATTTACATTTATTGAAAATATCACATTAGCCTTTATTTTGCTCGTTTGCCCCAGTGCACAATTAAGCTATTTAACATGTAAGTTGTAATAACCGGACTGCAAGCAGCTTCATAAAATGAAAGACCAAATACACTTATAACATGATCAGACTGTTTTTAATCCGGTGGATAAGGAACAGCGGGGTGGAAGGGAATAATTTGTTTTAGGGTCCGATACACAACCTATCTTGTTGTTTTACCACATACATCTGTTATTAAAAGCCACTGTTTAGCAGTGTAACATGCACCTAAAAATTGACAATATGGGACGTCATCCATTAAATATACTATTTGTAGAGGAGAATCATTAGGGAACGGGAAAAAGATTAAAATAAAAAGAAAAGCACCAGGGCTCCAGAGCCCTTCTAGAGCAAAGTATTCTGCAGGGAGAGTGTAATGCCATTTGTCAGCGCTCTACCGCGACATGCTGTGAGGACGAGCATTTGGTCCGCTTCCTGCATGTTTGCTGTAGAAATGCACTTCTTTGGAAAAGCAGCCGTCAAGGCTTGTGCAGGGCTACTTCAAGTGCAGGGCTACTTCACACACCCAGCTTATTGGCCTGGGTGAGGACAACTTTCAGGACTGGCATGAAAGCAGAGGTCTCGCTGAAGTTGCTGGTGCTGACGATGTGTGTGTGGATGTTCAGTCCTTCCTGGTAGTTGCGGGTCTCGATGCTCTTCACCATGTTGTGCAAACCGCTGATGATGGCTGGAGAGAGCTGCAAGGAAGCCAGGCAAGGCAGGTCAGCAGAAAGAAAAAACAGCACCTACACTAGTGCTAGGAAAACAGAAATTCCAAGTGTCAGGCTTGGCCCTCAGGAAGGTGAAGCAATTAAGTTCCTTTCTTTAGAGATAGCCATCTTCAGAGCTGCATCACACTGGGAACAGTCACTGGGAAGTCTAACAGCAGACTTCAACCAGATCATACCTTCTCTGCAGCACTGCAAGCCTTCACTGCCAGCCCCTGGGTGCAATTCCCTGGGATGGGAGACCTGCTGTGACAGACTGTGGCACTGTGAAAAACCTACTGGGCTTTTATGCCTTTGGGGTAAAGTTAATTGCTCAGCAAACACAGCCTGACAATAACAGGATTAGATCACTCTAATCCTAAAGTACTAAGACATCTAAGCACAGTCCTTTATTCTGCCAAAGCCTCCTGGAAGGCTTTGGAAAAATTACCAGATCTTCAAAAGTAGTTGCACATCTGCCTTCCAGTGAAGTCAGTGAGCCTCCAACATCTAAGTCCCCTGGGTTCTTTTTTAACCCCAGGATGCGTGTCTCACTTCCTGCTGGGAGCAGAGAAACAGTGCCTGGTGCAAGGAGCTCTGCTCTTTGGATCAGCACAGTCTCTGCACAGCACCATAACACTCACGACATGACCCCAAAACACTGTAAAGTCCGCACAGGCATTTGGGGCCAAGCACGCTACCTCGCTGTTTTCCAAGAAGTAAAACATCCAATAAATGGATTTGAAGCACACTTCCAAAGAAAGAACAAGCACCTGCCACATATTGCAGAGGGGCCCACACCAGCAATGAAGTCATGGGCAATGTTTGACCGGGGGGTGGGGGAAAGTAAAACAGAACTTACTGTCTGTTCCCTAAGTTTGTCATAAAGAAACTCCAGGCGTTTATTTGCATCATCCAGTTTCCTCTTGGTTTGCTGCAAGAGAAATAAAAACATTAAAACACAGTGATTTTAAGAACACCATACTGATCTGATTATCACTGTGAAGAGATCCATGTGACACATCAAATTCCTTCCTCAACAGCATTTTCCTAACACATCATTTGAATTCTTTGTTCTGTACTTTTCTCCCCAGATTTTGCTAGGAAAGACCACAAGATATATGGCTGTAGTTCTCCATATGTAACTGCCCTAGTTTGCTACAGAGAACAGTAAATTATAGAGGTGCACCCCAAAAGCCACTGGTCATTTGCAAAACCCACTGGTTTAGCTGATACAAAAGTGACAGAATTCTGAGCTGCAGCACATTTTTCTATGGTTCACTGGCAAAGCATTATAACTGGATAAAATTCTTACTGGAATCATGTATCCAGCAACGTCAATGAGAGCTTAAGGGCACATGCAGATACTCAAGTCTAAGTAAGTGCAACTCAGTCATCATTTATGGAAAATCCTAATTATATTTTTCCTCATGTGATTAGTAAAGCTGGGAGTTTGTCTATAAGTTTTTAGTATCAACAGAAAAACTAATAGCTTTAACCAAAATGTCCTTACAGATCCTTTGTGCTTCCATGACTTTTACAGAATAATCCACCCACTGATGTACCTGGAATTACTTTGCCACCAAAGGTTCTTAAAATAACCCCAGTATATTCCACCTGCAGCAGCAGCTGCTGAAGAAATGCATTTTTATTCACCTTTTTTTTTAAACCAACATCCACAGAAAATGTACATTTTAATCCAGAGTAATAAAACAGTGATAAAGCATCAGGGTTACAATTGCAGGAGCACAAGAAAGCTGGTGGCCAGCAGTGGCAGAAATGCTATCAGTGCACAAGAGTAATGGAACTTCCTCCTAAATCAGTATGCATATCAATCCATCTTCACTTAGCATAGTGCCGTTTTCCCTGGCAACTGGAAACATTTCTCTGGATTAAATATTGTCCAGAGAGAAAATAAAGTCTATGAGAATGCTCTGGCTCAAGGGTGAACACAGGCTGATGGCCGCCTGCTGTGCTAGAAATTAGGGGAAGCTGTTCAGATGGCAGAGGACATAAAGGAGAACATGGCACATGGATCTCGGGCTACGTGTGGAAAACTCCTCAGCGCCAGTTATGCTGTCAAGGAACTGAGATAGGTAAGGAAAAGGTACCCCAGGAGGAGCAGATAAACTGGCTGGTTCTTTTGGACTGGCAAACTCTCAGATACATGACTTCAGAGCATTTGTTTCAAAACCTGCAAACAGGAGAACACTCTATTTTCATTTTACAGATGGTCAGCTAGGACAAAGAAGAATAAATTGTGTCTAGTAAACAACAGGACATCTCTCCAGCCAAAGAAATGAGGTGGAAGTGCAAACTGGTTGTCCTCCTCACTCTCTGCTTCCTGTTGCCATTTTCCCCTTTAGAATGTAACGAGTAGTGCCTGCATTTGCTCTGACAATGACTGATGTGTACAGCCAGGGTGGTGTCTCATCTCCCTGTACTTAAATACTTGCTCTGCCTAAGAAAATCAGAGAGACTTAACAAGAAGCAAGCAAAACGTGTTGGCAGAGCAGAAAAGCAATCCCTAGGTGCAGATGTAAGCAGAATGCTTTTGCCTTCTTTGTCTGGGAGAAGGGGCACTCAGAGGAAGAGAAAGTCAAAGAGTGTGCAGTATACACTATATACATATATGTACTCTAAGCTTTAAAGAAAGGGTTTTGAGCAATTGAATGAACCTTGAGGTCTGTCCTATGGCCTCAAAAAGCTTCTGCAAAAGGAGTGTGTGGGTGAGCCCACCCTGAAACTGCTGGACTGAGACACACAGGGGAAAGGAGGAGTACATACATGCAAATGCCAAGTCAAAACTACAGAGGCAGCTGAAACCGTAGAGCAGGCAGAAGGCAGAAGTGACACCAAATGCCCAATATACCCCCACAGCCACTGCCACAGAGCCCTCAGACAGCTCAGCTCCCAGTCTCCATAACAGGAGCACAAGTCTGTGCTGCTAAAGCAAGCACATTTAGTGCACAAAGCCCTCTGCACACCACCAGTACCATCTTTTAGCATGTGGCAGGCACGAGCTGAACAGTCAGCATCTGAGCTTTGGAGTGACATGTTATTTACTGACCACCAGAAATAAATGAGAAGCTCTGAGAGGGATGGCTCATTTACAAAGTGCTGGCTGGCACAGGAAATGTTTTTCCTACCCAGCTCCAGTGGTTGTGTTAAAGCTGTTAACCTTCCACTTCTCTGCTAGTCTTTTTTTCCTTTTGAAATGAGTTTGTTATCAGAAATCACAAATCAGAGATCAAAATCTGAGGCATGTACTCACGTATGTGAGCCTCGGCCCAGACCTGGCATAATACCAGCTGCTTCCTGCTCTGAATTATAAGAAGCAGCTAAGCAAATGTACAGGACATGCCTCCACAGGGATCACTTGACAGAAAGACCAACAGCTCTCTCTCTGAAGGTTTCAGAATTTTTAATTTTTTTAACCATCAACATCAAAACGTTAACTGTAACCAATTCCAACCCTTCTTCCTTGAAGAGAGCAATATAGGGGGCTGCAGTGGGTTAATTCCTTGCTCATAAATAGCTCATCATCAGGCTCTGCCCATGCTGAGGGCTGTAAGGACCAGAGTCAAAGTGCTCAGCAGCTGGACTATGCTTTGACCTCAGATGTCCACACCCTGTGTGCATATGGCTTTCCCACATGTTGCTTGTGGCTGCTCAAAGCAGCCTTTAGAGGGACCAAAAGAGAGGCTGAGAGGTACCTGTGCTACAGGTACCAGCATGTTCACCCACACACAGGGGTACTCTGGGAATACCACAGTGACCTACCGGGTCGGAGGCGGACAGCAGGCACCTCTGGATAAGAGCTTCAAACGTTGTCTTAAGAATAAGGTGCTCCTCAGGGATGGGCTTCTTGGTAATCTTCTCTGTTGGCAGTGCCTGCACATGCTGAGAAACAGAGAACAGGTGAGGCTTTTCCAGGTCACTGTACCCACACGTTGTTTTTGACTAAACCAAGCGGCATCATTAGTTAGCTTGGCACAATTCCTGTTTCTTCCCTGTGGGTGTGTGGAGGTGACATTATCAGCACCTGCTGTTGCTCCCTCTGGGAAGGTGTGAAGCTGCAGAAGGAAGCAGGTTGTTGGCCCATACTGACTATAGCATTAACTGCAAAAAGGTGGGATCCAGGTGGAGATTACAGCAGCACGATGCCAGCATGGCACAACGCTAGTGACTAAAAACTCCACAGTACACTTTGCAGGTACAGGAAATGCCTGGCCAACAGGATCCCACCCTGCCAGGCTCTGCTGATGGACAAACCAAAGCCATGCAGTGCCAGGGCTGTTACCTGGATGGTGTTGCCGATTGGGGCCCCGGGGGCCCCCTCCGTGCTGGGTTTGGAAGCAGCAGGTGGCAGGGAAGCAGGTGGGTAGCCACCCTGCAGCAGTGGCCCAGCCGGCAGGTGCGGAGGCTGGAAGGTGGGGGCACCGGTGGGAGGTGCTGGAGCTGGAGCCTGCTGCATCTGAGACTGCGGATCCGCCAGCGGGTTCATGATGGGGGAAGTGATGGGAACCGGGGGCAGGAAGTTATCAGGGACCTGGGGAAGAAAAAAAAAAACCAAAACCAAACCCAACAAACAGTGCATTTATGTTGTTGTGGCTGCTGCAGGCAGAGCACAATGCCCAGCTCTTACAGAATTCCCACCCCACAGTAATTGAGAGCTCTGGATATACAAATAACAGGATTTCACTCTGCCTAAACAAACCCATTCCTCTGGCTGCACAGTAATAAGTGCCTTGAGCCATCCCAGCCTGCCCCTGGCCACAAGAACTGGGTGCAGCCATGTCAAGATCAGAGCTACTCTCCCTCTGCCAAGGGCACAAATCAGAGGTTTGGCAGACCAGCACTATTAGAAGAGAAAACTAACCCACACCTACATCTATTCTTACTATTGGGTCGTTATATTTAGATTTTTGTGTCTCACTTCCAAGGGTGTATTTTTGTCCATGCAGTACGTAGGTCACAGCTAGCAACATGCTCCAATAAAGCTTCTGAAAGCCTTTCAAGCTTCTGGCACACAGGTTTGTGCTAAGACAGATTATGGGTGCGTTTCAGATTCATCCCTAAGCATCTGCCAGTCTTTACACAGGGGGTTTTTCAGAAACATTTGGTAGAGGGAAGAAACAACAAAATGAGCTACTGGCCTCTGCTATGCATCATACAGGAATCCAAACAAAAGAAAGGGCTTCCATGGGAATGTGCACGTCTTGAGGTGTGCATGGAAAAAAGGAAAGATTACAGAACCCTGAACGAGTGATGCTAGAATTAAGTGAGTGGTTTGGGACAGCAAAAAAAATATTCCCAATCCAGCACCAAAGTCAGTTATAAATGCAATGAATCACAGCAATAAACTTTTGAGTGGTGAATAAGTTCTTAGTTAGGAAGAAAACAGTTGAAAATTACGGCTTGAAATGCCAGATGTTTCTATTTTATAACAGTCCATGTGGTGAGTCATTTTATAATATCCTAAACCACCCCTCAGACAGTGGACAGAAGGGAAACAAACAGAAACACGACTGACAGATTCGTTAAATACCCAACAGGGAACAAGCGTGACTCCTCATTTAGAAGGGAGCCAACCCTCAAGCCTTGGCTATGGCAGGAATTGTGGCTGTGACACACACACACGCTGCAGTAACAAAAACCCTGTTTGCAGAAGGCTGCTTCTTGAGCTCTCAGGTCCAGCAGTTACTCTCTCTGACAACTTTCTTTCTTCTCCTTCAGAGCCTGAAGCCCCAAAGGCAGCATGCAGGCTGCCGTGGGACAAACGTCCCCGCACTGGGGCAGTCAGGAGCACACAAGGCGTCCTTGATCCAGCCTCCAAAAGCTTCTTAATCTTGAGCTGCAGAGACCAAAACCCAAAGGCTAAGGCAGACTTCTGCATTCACCTTCACTCAGATCTTCCCTTGCTTGCTCTAACTTTTTTTTTGTTCTCCCCACACTTTACATGCTCTAGACTAACTCTTGCTTCCCAAATGCACCAGGATCAGAGAACAGTGGAAGGCACTAACTGCTGTGGAGATATTCCAGACTACAGCAGCACCAGGGGAGGAAAAGTCTCACTCTGCTCTGTGCCAAGTGTCCCCAGTTATTCTGCCCTGCTGCAATCTAAATCCGTTTTACAAAACTACATTATCTCCATCATGAAAATTGTCTTACTCTCAACAGACCTCTCAGGGTCAGACCCTTAATCAGGATAAATTGCTTTCAGCTCCAGCAAAGTCAATAATCTATAACAATTTGCACAGCCTCATAACTTTGCCTAAGTATCGTCTCTTGCAAAATTCATCTGCTTTACTGCAGATGAAAACATTCAGAAGCATTTCCTTTAAACCAGGATCAATGTTGTTACTAACAACCACAACTTTAGCAGAAAAACACCATCTCTTTATAGGCTTAAATATTTTGAGTGAGATAATGCATACTGGAGAGTCATAAAAGCCATTTCTGCTCATGAGGTGAAGCTTTTGTTTGCTAACCCTTCTCTTTCCCTCTCCTGCCAAGAAGTTTCCCAGGAGCAGCTTAAAATTACTGCTTTTCAAGTGACCAGCACTCAATTGTGTTGAGGCACTATTTCCTAGAGTACCTTCTTCTTCTTGGCAGCTCTGTTCAGGGTGGGAGGGTCATTCCAGCCATTCTGAGGTCCTAGGACAGAAAGAAAACAGAGACTGTAAGTACCTTGGAGGAAGGCAGTGACGCCTTCTTGAGTTCAGCTGGGCCAGCTCCCTGCCACGGCTCTACTGGCAGGGCCTTAGCAGAGCCTGCCCTCTCCTGCCCTTCCCTGAGGGCTAGAACAGCTCCTGTGCCAGCCAAGCCTCCCAACACCCCTGCCATCAGACCCTTTGGGCTCTGCACCCACTGGGCATGCTTGGGATCTTAACCAACTGTTCTCAAGTTAATAACTTAATTATTAACTTTTTCTTTTCTTGCAGAAATAATAAAAAAAAAACCAACTTTGAGCAGACATGCCCCTTGAAAAGGGCCTGCCATGCCCAAAACACAGCTCTGCTACACAGACTGTATATGTGAAGAGAGCTTATACGTGACATTTATACATGGCAGTTAAGACATGTTCCCCAGCAACACCACACAGAAAGAAGAGGTGTAAGAGGCAAACATTTCAGGCCAGATTCACCCAGCCACCTTGGAAACACAAAAGAGTCAACCCCCCAGGTCTCTCCTGCCAGCTACAGCATGTTTTTGGGAGCTTTGTATCCCAAAATCAGAGCAGAGCTGCTTGAGCAAGGTGAAAAAGATCTAGCTTTCTGCACCAAAGGCAATTTGTTTGAAACTGGAAGGAGCACAGAGGATGTCCGAGCAGATTCATTCCAAGTCTGGGGTGTTGCTCCGTACCAAACCTTGTGATCTCCCAGGCTCTGTGCAGCTGCAAGATTTGCACACCAAAGCTCACATTAGTGCATTAGAAGCAGCTCCCCATCTCATCATGGAGCACGTGTAATCAGGACCACAGCATCACATCCCGGCATTACCGCGGCCTCGCCGAATAATCAGGATTTATTGCACAAAGCCACAAAAAGCCAACAAAACCAAATCCCTGCTCAATGGACTTTTTCACCACAGTGTTTTTCACTTAGCAGATGATGAATTCAACCTTACACAGCACAGCTTAACGTCACTGCAGAATTTGCTCCCGATGTTCTGTTAAACAAGTTCCACATCCAGAGTATGTAAAAGGGGTAAATGAAAAACAATTTAGAACCATTTTCACCTCTGCTTTCTCTTTAACCAAAGGCAGTGCCATCTCCTGGCAGCCATGTGCCCCCAGGGCTCCTCTATTCCTCCCTATCCAGAAAACTGCAGAGTATTCAGATACAGGGAGTCTAACTGCTGCAGTGCTGATAGGGGTAACACATTAGGAAAATATCCCAGGCTGCTACCACTGTTAATTTCCTGGAATAATTTCCTTTAAAAAAGGAAAACTAGAATTTGTTTCTGTGGTTAAAAATTCCAGATATGTTGTTATTGGTTTTAATTAAGGAATTAAAAATTGATTTGATTAATTGGCAAACAGCATCACACTTAATGTTCTCTGAAGAACATATGCATAATTGATGTCTGTTCAATTAATTTCACGTAGTGGCTGTAATTATTTTCAGGTTAGGTGGTACCTAGTTCACCTGCGAAGGGAGAGGCCTGGTCTTGAGCTGGTAGGCTTTCTGCAGATAAAATGCAAAGACAACTAAAAAAAAAAGATTTTCTCCAAAAATAATAAAACAATTGGTCTGCAATTTTTGAGTAGCAAATTAGTTTCAATGAGGAAAAAAAAAACACCTAAACTGATTACAATGTCAATTTAGAGACAAATCATTTGTTCAAACCACCCCGTGGAATTGCTTTTGTCCACCTTCCCCAAAAACGAGCCTGTTGCTCTTTCCATGCAGTAAATCAGTGTTTCTAGTTCTTTTAACAAATTTTGCAGAGTTCTGGCTCATTTTCTTATCTCTGGTGTTCTCATTTTCTATTCCAGTGGAGCCGACAGACCATTATTCTCAGCAGCAAACTTCTCAACATTGTTTTACGGTTCCAGAAAGCTTTTCAAGAGATGCTGCAAGTACTTGACTTTAAGGTGGATATCCAAGTATTTTCTCAAATCAAGGCACAGTCTCAACCGCATGCAGCCCAGCAATAAAAGTATGTTCACACAGCAGCTTTACACTCAAACAAAATGACACGTTGCCAGCTCAGACTGAGCAATAAATCCAAATGAAAAACGCAGCCAATAAAGCCTTCACCATTTCAAATAGAAGAGGAACTTTGGGGATGAGATAACTCCTGTCCCTGGGGTTGGTCTGATGGGCTTACGGTTTTAGTGCAAACCCTTACTTTAGCTAAGAATTGGCCTATCACATTTTCAAACAGGATTCAAGATGCTGAAAATTAAAACTCCCTTGAAAGCAGGTTCAAAGATCTATCACAAAAAGTGAGAGAGGTTGAAAATGAAAATAAATGTGGGCTTTTCTTGCTTACTGAAGCTTCAAGCACAGCTTAACAGACTGACGTTACATGCATTTCAAAAAACTAGAAGATATTTATAGAAATGTTTCTTTAAGTGCATCTTTAAATCCAAGCCAGTTCAAAGGTCGGGTGCTTTTCAAGACTTCACATTTGAGATCTTTTTCCTTCCTCCCGTACCCCTCCCTTTAAATGAGTCACGTTTACAAAGTGAAACATGATGTTCCCAGATTAGATTATCACCACACACAAAAGCACACCACTTCAATGCCAAGATCAGCATCACTATATGCTGTGCACTAGAACACGGTGTTACAGGTGACATCTACTTCTAGCTGCAGATTTCTGTGGTTCTGCAGGATCTCATGCCAAGGCATCCTTCACTAACCAGTGCAGCTGCTCAGAAAATACGTTGGTGGTTAAGAATATTAAGCATGATCGCTGTCATTTCTCCACTTAAAAAACAAGGGTTTTTTTCCTTCTTGTTTGTATGCTTTTTGAAAGGCGTAATCCAAACACTGGAAGAGAACAGAGCGTGCTCTTCAGACACCCTTTATTTTTTTTCCATAGTTCTCCAGCTGCAGGCAGCACTCGTGTGCCCACATTCATGAGCCATCCGGGCCTCAGCACCTCGCCACGCCCTGGAGTCCACCTCTGCATTTCAGCCTAAGGCTGCTGTTTGCCAGAAATAAGAGATGATGCCCAAGTTTGGGTTCTTGAGCTTTTGCCACTGTATACTGGCTACCTTCTCACCACAACTGCTGGGAAAAACATAAGCAGCATTGATAGGTCTCAGAAGGTTTTATAAAAAGCCTGGTATGAACAACTTTGAAAGGAAATCTGGCCAGGCAATGTGGATAAGGACTGGTTCAACTCCTCTTTTTTAAAATGACATACGATGTGTTAGACTACAGTCTATGTGGATTATGCCATTTTACAAATCAACTAGTATTGTCATTAATGTTCCTAATTTCTATTGTCCAAAGTATAGAGCTTCACCCACTCTGAGCACACCACATGGACTATGTCACTTCACTGCAAGAAACTTAAATAGTGGTAGATCTGAAGTGCCTGCCAGTGACACAAGCTGAGTAGTAAAATGGATAAGAATGAACAATTTTTTTGTTCCCGCCATTTATCTGGAGGTGCAGAAGCTATGCTGTCTGCATTACAATGTGCTGCTTAACATCCCAGGCCCAGAAACCAATACATCTTTCTCTGTCCAATTTAATAATTCCTCTGGCTTAAAGATTCAAGTTTGACATGCCCTGTAACAAGGGGTTGGGAGAGGTCACAGTACAGAGAGGGCACCAAATCTGGCTGCACTATGGAGGGAAAAGGCCTTTTCTCCCCTTGCAACTCTGGCAGCCCTACACCAGTCCTAGTAACAGAGCAAAAGACTCTTTCTCCCCAAAACATGAGGGCATGTGTGAAGGCAATGCCATGAGAGGTGTGAGCTGCCAGCCTGAAGGACACCAGGAACACATACTCATAGGACTCATGTTGTCAAGACAAAGGCAAAATGCCTTTTCTGCACTGCCTCAAACCAACGAACTTTTAAAACAAGAGGGGGAATCACAGTGGGCTTATTAGAGCCTATCAGCAGAGCTTTCATCTCCAAAACACTTCTCAAATCTTTCCTAATATTCCCTCCACTCCCCAGATCCGGTCCTTGACACTTCAGCTGGAGCACCTAGATGTGAAGTGTGTTTATGACCAAGTTTATCAAAGGACTGCTCATACTTCCTGCACTGTCTGATGTATGAGAAGCTGCTGTTTCACAGGCTGCTAAGTGAAGAGACAGCTTTGTTACCGCAAGCGAGGTCACTGTCCCGCGGCAAACAGTGACATCCAGGCAGTCACGAGCAGACACGGAGCCCCCACCTCAGCGAGTGCTCCCTCACCAAGCATGCTCAAACATGCTCCTACGTGCCAGCCACACACACATGCTTTTAATTGACATCCAAGAAAGACACGTAAAAGCATTTCTAAATCACTTCTGATTATCTTTTAAGGCATTCACAGCTACAGCAATTCCATCGCACTAAGTGGTTAGGAACAAAATAATGAAAGTGAGCTGATGCCACAGGAAATGCTGTTTGAATTAAATATGCTGCCAATCTCGGGCTTGAAAGGCTGCTCAAAAACCAGGGGCACAGGGACAAATCACATTTGCAAAATCATTGTGCGAGGAGAATTGGGATCATCTTGTCTGCGGCTATTAGGGAAAAGTTGCTCATTTTTGTATTCTACTCTCCATCCACAGAGCAGAATTTGATGCCAGCCTCACAAGGTTAAAGCTGTGCAACTATCCATCCATGGCATATGACAGCCTCATAACAAGACTGCTGTAGCCTCCTGTCTTGGGCAAGACAAAAAGCTCTGTGACTGTGGCAAGGTCTGACTCGCAAGAGAAAGATGACTGCTCACGCTGCGGCAACGCAGTTGTGCCACTGCCAGAGGCACAGGGATGATGATGTGCTTTAGAAATGCTTTGAACCGATCTCTAAGCAAAAGCAACCTTTGTACAGAGCATTCACAAGGAAAAGGTGCATACTGAACTGAGTGAGTAAAGACCAAAACCCTCTCCCCCCTCCCTGCCTGCCCCCCTGTCCAAGCGCAGACCTGTTCTCTGGGATGCAGGAAGGTCACTGGTTGCAGGCAGAGTACCTGTTGGTCCAGTAGGTAATGCATAAGCCACAGAAGTTGCTGGAGGTCCTGGCCTGCCATGCTGAAAGGATGTGCCAGAAGGAGGAACAGGGAAGGAAGAGACAGGATTCAAGCTTGTCGGGGAGGGCTGAGGCTGCCCGGGGTACAGCGGAGAGGGCATGGGGTGGGCAGGGGCAGAGGGCAGGTAGGGAGGGGCGGTGTTAGGGGCAGGGTTCGGGTAAGAGGCTGAAGCAGGGACAGCGATAGGCTGCTGAGGCTGATAGAGAGCTGGTCCCCCTGTTCCAGAGGAGTACTGCTGTGTGGCCTGATAAGCTACAAACAGGGAGAGAAAACATTCAGTCAGTGAGTTCATAACAGAGGAGCTTCCTTCTTCACCTCACTCTCTTCATGCCCCTAATCCCTCAAACCACTTACCTGCCCAGCCAAATCCTGGCTCCCACAACTCTGCCTGCACTTGTAGGACTGCTTAAAACCCCAGCCTGCAACTGGGAGCAGGGAGGCACAGAAAGGACTGCCTTGGCTGTAAGGACTCTTGTTCTCCCACACACAGTCTCTGGCCCAGAGCCACTGTGTCACCTGGGGTGGGGCTGGGGCACATGGACACTGCTGTTCTTCTGGACCACTGCAATCCTCACAGTGTCTCTCAGGGAAGGGAAAGCCCCATCCTAGGTTTGCACAAAGGGAAATCCTAGGCCAAGGAAATGAACAACACTCTGGAAGTGAGGGTAAGCTCACAACCTTTCACTGCAGGCCCTGCAGCCTAATTTTACTACCTGTCCTGCTCATCTATGCTCATTTTTCCTCTCTCACATCTGTACTTTTAATCCCTGCCTCGAGTGTCAGTGCTCTGCCCCCCCTTCCTCACTCAACTCTAGTACTGCCCTCATTTCCTCATCCCCTTTCCCATCTTCATGGAGTCACAACAAGAAAGGATGGACCAGCTGCACACAGATGAGTTGTGTCCCTCTTTGTGCTGCTTTTCCAGGTCTCAGGCTTTGGACTTTCTGACCCCAGCACACCCTTGGGAAGGGCCAGCTGAGGAGTGAGTCTAAGCTGTGGGTAGACGCCCTCTCAGCAGAGGAGACAGTGTTTGACTGTAGAGGGTGTTTAATGTCTGAACCCCACCATGAAATGACAACCTCAGAATGTCGCCTCAAGAGCCTCTTTCCCCACCCCCACAAGAAATGTAGGACAGTCTTGGTCTGAACATTCCCAACCACAAGCAAGGGACTGGTTATCCCCAACTAAATGTGGCTGGCCCACCTGGGTGGGAGGGAGAGAGGGGGAAGCCGCTGTTACTCACTCTGTGGGTACGTCGGCCGTGTCCCTGCTTGTGAGTACATGCTGTAATTGGAAGATGTGCCTTGCTGCGGCGGCATGTTGGGGTTAACAGCACCTGGCATGATAAACCCTGGAGGAGGTGGGTTGTCTCCCTGTAGCAAAAAGATTTCAGGAAAAATAGTTGGGAGAGACAGGATTTAGTCAGCAACGTTAATGCAGTGCCGAAGCAAAACTGCAACAAAATGATCAACCACATTCCCTGGAAGAGCCACCAGCACAGAGGCAAAGGCCTCCAACCAGCCCAGTGCCTTAGGGTGCCCAGTCTAACACTGAAAGTACAGCCTGTATGTGCAGTGATTTCAGCAGCAAGCAGAGCAGCACACACCTTCCTGCACAAGGAACAGGTCCCTGCTAGTGCTGCCTGTTATTCAGGCAGTCTGAGAGCACCCTGCCATCTTTCAACTAAGCAAACATTAACTCTGAAGCTTCTGATTTTCATGGAAAGGGGGGGAAAGGAAAAATATCATCAAACTTCAAATATTCCAGTGTGAGTCAAGGGGTGGGGAGGCTCAGATCACACTGAGCTCCCACTCAAGGCTTTCCAGAGCCCCTCATCTGGGTGTTGGTGAAAAAAAAATAATGAGATGCAGAGGAATAAAACCAGAGCGCACATGGAAGCTGCTCCTTCTGCCTATCTGTACCAGACCATGTCAAGCACACAGACTACACCAGGGGACATATTGGGGTGGAGCAGGGGCTCAGAGAGGAATAATGAAGGTTATACCTGTGTGTCAGAGGGACAGCCTGCAGGAGGATGGCTGGGAAGGGCAGTAGGAGTTTTGTTACTCCAGGTAGTGACAGTAGGGGCAATTCTAACCTGAATCGAACAAAGAAATACCAATCATGGAAAACAAAACAATAAAAAAAGTCTAAAGGGTTTCACAAAACAAGATGCAAGAAGGTTTGCATGCTGGCAGTTGTAACAGCCATAAAAATCTCAGAGAAAGAAGGAAAAATGCATTCAAGACAGACAAAATCACTGTGCACTGGAGCCAAAGTGAATTGCAGAGCGAAAACGAAGCACAGTGGAGTTGCAGCTATAATGGGCTGTGGAGCAAGTGCAGTGTTATATGTGCCAGTGAGCCAGGTCTCCCTCTTTCATTACATTTTCCTATGGCAGAAGCCCCCCCCGCCATTAGTCCATGACCCCAAGCATCACTAATCAGAGCTGCAAGTCCCAAGTTCCATGTTAAATTCAAACATACTGCCTCACACAAAAGAATTCTGTTTAAATTGAGCTCAAGATGAATTATAAAAGGTTAAAATCTGTTATTCAGCTCTTGCACATGCACAGATACACATCTTAATGGTAATTGCTTCCCAGCCAGTCTCCCATAGCTCCTTTCCTCTGTCTTCCTTCTTTGCCACTTCAAAGCCCTTCAATTCCATATGACCACTTCTACCTTTCTGATGGGACAGAAGCCATAAACCTCCTATGCCTGTGACATCCCTGAGCAAGGAGTGGGTGTGCTGCCCAACAGTGGGACACATGGCCAGGGTTCAGGAGTTCAACGCCCCATGTGAGCACAGGCAGAGGGAAAGCTGTGACCCTGCACTCCTGGCTGGCTCAGCTGGCTTCAGGCTACGTGTCTCTAACTCCACACAGTGCTAGGCTAATGGTGCAGTCAGCTGTACAACAACCACTGTTAGTGTCTGCATAATTCATCATTGAAGTAACCTAAAAGACTTTTTCACTTCCTTTCATGCCTGGTTTATCTAGATGAAAAAGAGGCTTAAAAAAAACCTATGCTGAAAGGAATCCAAGTTTTAAGTACATGTTCCTATTTGGGACAGCAATTAAACAAAGGCTGCCTTAAGCTTGAGCAAGTCCTTCGTACACACTTTCTTAAAAGGAAGTCAAAGTAAGTATCCTGAGACTCAAATGTGTAATTTTTCTCCATTCTGGTTCATCAGCACACTGCTGGGCACCTTTCTGACATGATACCTGTCCTCTTCAAGCCCCTGATGAGCATGGACTTCCTGAAAAGCCAAGAACACAGGGGGATAACTCACAGTGTGCTCAAGGAGTTGTGATAAACCCAGCCTTTTATTTTTGAGCAGGGCTTGCTGAAATAATAGTTTGAGACATTCCTGAAACAGTAGGAGAAAGAGGAAACTCTGGTTTAAAGAAAAAGCATTGCTAAGATCTTGCCATGTAGAGGAAAGCTGCTATTCCCCACAGCCAAACGGGAATCACACAGAATCACTTCTCAAGGCAACTCGTTGGTTACAAGGAGGGAGGCCAAAGACACAGACAGAACAACAGAGTTGATTATTGATGATGATGCATTTAAAATCATATGCAATGGTGTTAGCAAGGTAATCTTGGATGAAGGCTTTGTCCCTTCTGAAATCTACCTTGCTAACACCCTGGAAAGAAGGCAGAGGCACACGTTGTTGACATCAAGAACTCCCAATTCCCCCCTCAACCTTTCAGCCCTTTTTCCTTCCTGCCTCATTTTTCTGGCAAGCAATGCTTGAGTGCAGCACAGAGACACCACTGCTTGTGCCAGACTCCTCCGCATAAGGAGAACACTCAGCCCCCACACAGCTCTGCTCTCAGAAAAGCTCAGCCCAGAGCCCCTGTGCAGAGGAGGGCCAGGGGAGCTGCAGTGCTCTACTGAGGGATTAGAGTCTTGGCAATGCCCTCCAAGCATGCACACAGCCAGGGCTGCTCAACACACCACACTGCAGTGATGGCCAGTGAGTTCTGTTGTGCTGTTGTCCTCAGGTTAGAGATAAAATCAGGGAATTTGCCTCCCCTATTCGTCCTCTTCCTTCCTGCACAGCTCCCTTATTAGTCTCATACTTAACCAGGTCTTTCTTCTAGCACAGCTCACTCTCAGTCCAGGAAGTTAAACCACCTGCTTCCTCACCTGCCCGTGCCCCCTTACTGAGAAGGTGTTTGCACAGCAAACTGTACCCACAGCTGCTGAAACATGTCATCAGTTTGCTACTGCCACTGCTCAGCAGCTTCTGCAGTCAACATCAGGGCTGGGGGTGGGAGCAATCAGCCCCAGGAGAGTCTGGTGAGCAAGCCCCATGGCCTGCAGGGATGGGACATCAGGGACTATGAGAGGAAGCGCAGAACTCCTGCAGTGCTCTCCCATGCAGCTATTCTTGGCATTGAAGCACACCTTCAAACAAAGGGGGAAAACACCAAATCTTCAGCAGCAGACTGCTTGACAAGGTGTTTAATGGATGCTTCCAGATAAGGAATAAAGGAGGTATCTGTATTGACTGAAAGGAAGCCCCAGTGACCTTTACCATAAAGCTCTCGGGAGGCATATGGCATACAGCCTCAGATCAAGAGAAAGGAGAAGAATTATTATATCCATCACTCTCAAGAATTCAAGCACCATGTCCCTCCCTTACTGCCAAACCCCATTTACCTGCTGGTAATACTGCTGGGCTGGAGCCTGGGGTGTTTGCATCCGTCCAGCCACAGGGCCAGCTCGTCCTTTGGGCACGGGCTCTCTCTCATATGGTCCCTTGAGGCCGTCCTGTCCCACCGGGGGCTCCCCCTGGGCTCTGCAAAGCCTGTCCCGCAGCTGCACGATGTTTGGCTGCAATCAGAGCAGGACAGTGAAGGAAGGTTAACTGCACTGCCTGTCACCCAGTGCATCACACCAAGAGGCTGATTGGCCACCCACTGTCTGATGAGCTCTCTCAGAAGCCCACTCTGCTTTGTTAGATCAGACTGAGGCACAATCATGACCATGCATGAGACATGGGGCCATTGGGACTGCCTTACATGTGCCTGCCTCTTTCCCAAACCACCCTGTCTACAAATGTCAGCTGATGGAAAATGAGAAGTCAAAAGAAAACAACCAAGTGTCAAGGCACACATTTCATTCACCGTGTCTGGCTTGCTGGAGGGACACCCTCTGGCAGTCACTGGCTGCAAGGACAAAGGTGTGAAATGAAGAGGGAGCAGAAGGTGGCTGTGCATTTCTGTCAGCTCGGCAAGGTCAACACAGGGAGAGGGGAAACAGCCTGTCACATCTTGAGGTGCATGTCAAATGGCAGTCCTGATGGCTGACTGCACCGTGCAGAGACCTTTGCTCTAAGTGTACCTGTTCACACAGAGAGAGAGAGAGAGTGAAGAGCCTGAAGGCCCCATACCTGGTTGGTGTTCTCAGGGAGGAAGGTCAGAGCTGCAGCCAGGCTTCCCTGAGCAGCCAGGAGGTTGGCATACTGGCTCATCTTATCGGCCAAAAGGGCCCCCACAGCATTAGGGTCCACAGCCTGGGTGAGCTGCACGGCTTTGCGCAGGATTACGACTTTCTCTATTAAGTCCTGAAAGATCAGGAAAAAAAAACACGCACAAGTGAGAACAGCAAAGTGAATGGCTAACTAGTGACAGGCTAATGACTGTCATGGAGGGCTGTTCCTCAGGCCAGCCTTGGAAAACCCCTCTCACCCAGTGAGAAGCCCAAGCCCAGTGCAGGTTTCCCAGACAGCCACAGCTGCACCAAGGCACAGCCTTCCCACCATGTGAGATAACAGAACACCAACCAAGTAGCTTCTAACAGCATAGCCAGCAGAGTTCAAAGCCAAAAGAACTGGTTTTATTAAAAAGGATTTCAGGGCCCTATCAGCACTGAGCATGCCCACCAAGAGTATGCTTTCATAAAATTATCTGGTGACAGCATGAGAGCAAACAGGAAACATCATGTCACCAACAATAGTGCTGTGCTGCTGCACATTTGTTTATGGTGTTTTAGTAAGTCAGTTCTTAACCATCTTAAAAGGATCTCCCTTGGGAGAGTTGTCCATTGCTTTCTGGTTGCTATAGCAAAAATACTCCATATCTTGCCTTCCATGCACATCCCCGAACACCAGAGCTGGCCTTGGTTGGGTTTCCTTCCAGTCCTAAATTACAGGAATGTTTTCTGGTCAGTTTTCTCATGATTTTCTTACTCTCACTACATTTATATTCAGAGATACTACAAATATTAATTTGACAATATTAACATTCAATTCTTTTTTAAAATCTTACGGTAGATTTATTGAGTGTACCACACACAAAATTTCAACCATACATCACTACTAAGGATTGTTTTCTGACTCCTCAATAAAACATTTTTGATTTTCTCAACAAATCAGCACTTCAAAAAAGGAAAAAAAACCCCTACAAATAAATCAAGATAATCAACAGCTTCTGTGAGTTTTCTATGAATTCCACATCAGAGTAAACAAGCAGCCTAATTATAACTCCAATAATATTTTTCAATTTTAGTGTCCAAGAGAGCAAAGCCATGCAATCAAAATGCAAATTCAAACTGAAGGTAAATCTGTATATAAAGCCCTCAAAATCAAGTAATTTTAATAATTCAAAACTGGAGAGAGTTAATGATGCAAAGCAAAACTCATACACTCCAGTTCTTTCAATTAACTACAAGAGATTCACAGCACTGCCAAGTAATGTTACTTTAAGTACTTTCTAAAACTGGTCCTTCAAAGGCCCCGAACAGATGGAAGAAACTAAGATTGTAGTATAAAATAAATTATTCCACAATTGCTTCATTCCACTCCTATTCCCCCAAGAAATTTGCTATATGTAATATATTTCACTACTGGAAATCAAGCCTTGTGTGTGCAAACTCCTGGAGAAAACACCAAGGAGAATCTTCCTACAGCTTTCTCTCTAGATTTAACTCTAATGCTTTAGATTTCTTCTCCTGAACATTCAAAAGTAGAAGTGTCCAAGTACTCCCCAGCTGCCGAAGATGCAAGCATTCTAAGACTCTTCTTTACCAAAACACTCAAGCTCTACCCTTTAACACAAGAAGTGTTGTAGCACAACTACCCAAAGACCAGGGCAAGCATAAGGGCCACTGTGCTTCACAATTGTGCATTTTCCAGTATCATATTTATGTGCTATGCCATTCCAGAAGGAAAAGGCTTGCATCCTGATGTACATCAGGCTATCAGACAGCAAAGCTCTACACTAGATCATTCGATTTAAGTGCCAAATGATTGCAGTGTGTTACTTCCAACACCTTTCTTGAAATAATTACCAACCTGAAGGGACAAGGGGCTGCTTCCATCCTGAACTTTGGTCCAACAGGCAACGAGTTTATCCACATTGCCAGCACAAATGTAACAGAGACAAGCTTGTGTCTGCAGAACGCTGTCCCCTTCATTTTCCAGCCTGCTGCCCAGGAGATCTAGATGGAATACGAACAGAGGTGCTGGTGAATCACTTCGGTGATCCCTCCCCATCGCTGCTGGAAGCCTACAATGGCTGTCATGTCTCAGTGAGAAGGGATATTGCCTCTGGGCTCTGCTGGTAAGGACACACTCTGGTGTCTAGCACAGATTATCTCATGGGAGTCCAGGGCACTTCAGAGGCAGTCATGGCAGCAAGAACCTGTCAAATGACTGCAAACGTGAGTCACAGCAGAGGGGATAGTCCCTCTGCTGACATGATAAAGGACAAGAGGCCAGGGTTCAATTCTCCCCTCCACCACCCACTTGTGCAGTCCCTCATTTCAGGAGTGTGACCCGAGTGTGCAACCAGCCAAGGAACTGTGAGCAAAGCCATGGTACTGCTCTGGGCTGATGCTTGCTCAAGGCAGTCATACACCTCCCCAGACACCGTGGCTGAGGGACACAGGGCTGTCAGGCTCACAGCTACTGGTAATATAACCTCCCTGTGGGTTAAACCCAGCCAGCTGTCTGCCACACAGCACACAAGGGCAGGCATGCTCACTGCCTGGGAAAGAGGACTCCTTCCAGCAGTCAAAACTGATCTTGGGAAAGAAGAGTGAAGTGCTTCCTTTAAACATTTCTACTTGTACCCCATGCACAAACACCTCAAGACTGGTCCCTTGGCTGAGACACCCGTCACATCAACACCCCCAGTGGAACAAGACCAGCAGCTGTGCGCTACACAGGCAATACTGGGACACAGCTGCTCACAAGACTCTGAGTTCTGTGCCCAGAAAGTTAGGGAATGCACTGGTAAAATAGCACCCCAGAGGTTCCTCTCCTCCTCTGCAACAGGACTTAGGAACTATATGACCCATGAAAGAAGCTAGAGAGGTATTACAGCAGTATAGGGGAAGGAAAACAACGCTGGCAAAGCGTAGTTTTGCTGTAAGTAAAATAAATGACATCCAGCCTGTAAAGTGTGCTTACCACAAAGGGCTGCAAATTCATCTGGCCTGGCATAAGTGAGCACAGCAGCCAAAGCCTCTCTCCAGTTCTGCAGATCACAAGACTGCACAATCTCTTTCCAGTTCTTCGTTACCACTGCAGTGATGAGCTAGACCAGAAGGAGAGAGACCACAGTTAACATCTTGGTAGGGTTTCCTTTGTATAACCTACAGTATGATTTGTATCTGTTCAAGTGCACTCATCCCCACTCTATCCAGGGTCACAATATACTGCACTGCAGTTGAACAGCTGCACTACAATACATTTTACTTCAAAAGGAATACAGTGAAAAATCAAAATGAGCTCAGATAACAAACAGGACAATTATTCTTGCTACAAAACGTGCAAGAAAAGAATACACAAATCTCCACAAGTTGTGATTGCTGAAAATGAGTTTCAGCAGTTTTTGCAGAGAAAGATAACATACTAAGTATTTAGCTGTAAGTCTTCCAGACAATGCTCAGGAAGGGGTATGGATTTTGTTTGTCAAATGGTTTCATTCGGCTTTAAGCTCTTGGCCTGAGGCTGACCTGAGGCCAAGTTGAAAAGGCTGTGTAAAGGAAGCAGCAAAGTGGCAGCAATATCAACCTGAGCTGGCTGTAGTGTCCCTACCCTTCACCCACACACAGGCTGTCTGTCCACAAGCCCTCAGAAAAAAAAATTCCTGTTTCTTTCTTCTCAAACTCTGCCTCCAGTTATTTTACTTGGGACAAAAGACAGACTTGGCAGCTGCGCTGCTCTTCAGTGAACAAAGCCCTTGTCATACCAAGATTTCAAGCTCAGAAACTTCTGAACAAGGAATAAGTGTGCAGTTTGGGACCAGAAAAAACCCCCACACCTAAAGAACAAATGCAAGAACCCAACTACAAGGTCAACACTTGCTTGTTAGCACAGGCACAGATAACAGGTCAGCTCTCCAATCCTTTCCCCAAAGGATTAACTATAGTGAAGAAGAAGAAATTTCTCACACACTACAAATTCTCCTTTCTCTGATTAGACCAGAGGGAGTAGCTAGGGGTAAGGGAAGAAATCCTGCAGAGTCTTAACACTTGAGATTTTCCTCTTTTCATTTGTCCAGCATTAGCAGAGCAGTTTTCTGTGTTCTTTTAAAGCCACTTCTCCTGTTTCATCTTCCGGTTGCTACTTTCTTATGCCAGTAATAAAGAAGAAAAACTTGAACGAGCAGCATCAACAATCCCTAGCCATGCAAAAAGCTGAAAATAACAATAACCAGCTGGCCATAACATGCTGTCTCCTAGACAAAGGGTGATTGATCTACCCGGGGCACACTTTGCTCTTTTCTGTGCAGGCAGTGAAATGAAGCATCAGCAAAATCTGTTAAGACTGACCACAGGCACAAATTTACATAATGCTGCCTGGCCCTGAGCATGGGTCATGTGTGACTCATAAAAAATGTGACAAAATAACAAACTGAAATGTGCCCTGATTAAGATACTTATCTATTGGTGAGAACCTATTAGTGTATATGCAACTCAGACACCAGAGAGGAGATAAAGAATACTCTTGTGTACTTATATCCAGGTAGCATGCAAGACTTCCCTTCTTATCAATGCATTAAAAAAGAGCAACGGAAGCTTTTCTGCTCCGAGATCTTAGAGATTATTTGAATACTTATTAACTTCTCCCAGAAATAAACCTAAAAAACGGCAAGAAAACTTTTAAGGTGAAAAAGGGAGTATGCCAAAGGCACACGAAGCACGTTAGTTCTGAAGCGAAAAAACACACCCTGGTGATTTTGCTCTGCATCTTAGCAAAGTACTTTTCCTGTGTCCTGGAGAGCAGCTCCTGCCCGCCCGCGATGGCCAGGATGATGGCGTCAGCCATGCGGTTGTCGTGCAGGCAGAGATCCACCGCGCTCCCGAAGTCGCCCGTCAGCAGAGCCTGCGTGATCAAACCGTCCACATCTGCAGCGAGAGGGGGGTGCACATTCAAATGGCGGCACAGAAGTCACTTAAAGAAGCAACAGTGACTCCGATTCCGACTGTACAACACCGCACAAGGCTGCCTGCAAACCAGCCTGCTTCCAGGCAGTACTCACAGGGATGCTCCGGTTCATCGCCAGCCTCAAACACACATGGCCACAGCCACGTCACGGGGGGCACTGTCAAGCATCACTTACCTTGCGGCAGAGCAAGATGCTAGAGGTCTAAATGGCCTCTGAAACAACAACCCTGCATACAGTGCCAAAAGAGTCAAACTAGACAGGGGTCAGTGGCTTCTGCATCACTCAAGATCCCCTGGGAGTTTCTGCTAGCACTTCATGCCTCATCAAGCATGTCTTCCTTTATAGCAGAAATCACCCAGAGCAGCTGCTTTTCAGCAACGGGGTACACAAGTGCTGTACACTCCCCTTCCTTCCTTAAAGAAGTTGCATTTTCAAGTGCCTTGAGATTGCTGCGAAACAAGTGCGGTTAGAGGCAAGTCATTACGATCCTTCACAATTTCTGTGCAGAAATGGCCTTCTCACTGGAACACCAGCATTAACATCAGCACTTATAAATATCAGCACATAAAATTAAATCAATATCAAGGTGTTTTTTTTTTTTTACCTCCACTAACAGAAATGTTAAATGTTGTCTTTGCAGATCCCAAACCCTCAGTTTCTTGTTTATGGTCCTTCGGTGTCTAAGAGAAAGGAAAAGCAGAATTTGTGACATTATGTAAACACTTGAAATATACACACATTTAAAAAAATATGGTTCTTGCACTACAAGTTAGACCTTCAGACTAGCAGTTGCCTCACAGAACATTAACTTGCACACACACATCCATGCCCATATACACACAATCCCCTCCAAGCAAAACAACAGCCACTACCACAAAGTCAGAAACCTCTCCCTTCCCTCTTCTTTCAACTTCGGCCCCTACCAAGAACAGTCTACCATAACACTACCTAGGTTCCACATTGCTCCACTTAGACTTTCAGCTTGTCCTTGAAATACTCTGCACTAGGCATGCATCCTAGTCTAATTAAGCAAATTGCATATGAACACATGCTTAATTTTCAGCACAGAAGTCCAGCATAGACCAGACTTAAGCACTTTGCACTCAGTACAGGAGTGGCTCAGTGGACAGAAGTTGCTTTTTTTTTTTTCTACAAAACTTCCCCAGGATTTAAGATAGAGACCATTTTGTGCATTTGGGATTTCAAACAAAACCTTTCAATAATAAAAAAAATAACACCAAGAGCGAATTCTCTCTCCATTACCCGTTTTCACAGCACAGCTTAAGAAGAGTGCAGAATTTGCTTTAGTACATGCAGGGGGAGTTCACAAGTCCACTGAGAACACCCTGCTTGTGAGCTGATCAGTGAAATTGCACTTCAGAGGATGAAGCACACAGCCAACCAAAACCAGGCTGGCTTGGATGGGGATGGAAAGTCAGAAGCAACCTTCATGTTTGACTCATGAAAGGAGGTAGCATCTGGAAAACTATTTTGCTGTCAGATAACACATGATTAAGTGTTTGGTATCAGCTGAGAGCATGTTGTGACCATCACAGGAATAATGTGCCCTTCCAGTTGCTTTATGGATGTGACAGCCCACCTTGATGCATCATCAGTGGCTCCAGGCCAGTCTCACAAATATTTACCATCCATGCTGGAAGGCTGGGGTCATGTTTAGCTGTGAATTCTCTCTTAGAGCAAACATTTGTAATGAGACATCTAATACCTTCAGGACTGCATACAGCAAAATCCTTATACAGTCAGATACATGCCTGCCACTGCAGTGCCTAAAGAATTAACAAGCAATCCAGCACCTAACCTAAGGAGAGCACTCTGGTTTTAGTGTCCTTAAGAGGCTATTATATGGAGTCAAGTGCACCACTCCAGCCTGCAGGAGCCTTAAACTACTGCCCTCATCTTCACTGCAGACAAGCACAGGGAACACAGCTAGTTTTGGGCTAACAGCTCTAATTCTAACCCAAAAGGGAGACTGAGGGAATGGGGGCCAATGAAGTTGGCTTGTTCACACAGCAATACAGTATTTTCAGTACTACTGACTTCACAAGGCAGAGGCTGGTCCACAGGCTGGTCCTCACCTGTCCCCATATTTAAAACATAGGGCTGAAAACAATGCTGTTCAAATGCACAGAAATGAACAGTAGCTGTAGGATCCCAAGAGCAGGCATGGTTGATCCCAACCTGCCTGTGATAAATCCGTCTGAAGTGCTGCAACAGACACTCCTAATGCAGCTGGCTGCCAGAGCCCTGACACTCGCTGCTCAGGTGCAAGGGGATGGATGGCACTGTGACTTTGGTGGGAGCAATGCAGAGAATGAACGTTCTCTCTCTCCTCCAGTAGCACAGCTTCATCTCTGCAAAGAGTTATACCCTGAAACAGGGCAGTAATAAGCTGACTGCTTGGTAATAATCAACCAGAGGGAGGAAAGAAGGCAATGCAGAAAGCAAGGGAAAAAAAAAAAAAAAAGCATTAGGGTTCTGGTGGCAGATAATTTGTGTTAGGGAAATGTCAGAGAAAAATGATGGCAGAATAAAGTCCTCGAGTGCGGTGCCAATTGGATTCTTATAAAACAAGCTTGTACTTCAGTGCCACCAAAATCTATTCACATGATGTCTGAAGCTGATGAGAAAAATCTTGAGCAACTTAACAAGAGACTGCTTTTATCGTTTTAAGTAACTTTTTGTATTTCTGTATATCCTCGGCACTAGGAAAAGCCAACAAAATAAAATGCTCTTAATGGTAACAAAGTAAATATAGGGAGGTCAGCAGGGTTAGTCTAGAAGGCAACAGATACCTCTCCCAAGAACTGCTCCTCTGTAGCTCGGCCTTCATCCCCCTCATTTGGCACAGATTCTTCAGATTCTGCAGGAGCCTTCAGCAGAGAGAAGATGCCATAAAAAAAAGCCAGCAAAAGAGGAAGAAATACTTTGCACTGCAGAGTACAGCCAGCTTCCCACCAACAACAGTTAGAACCAGACTGCAGATCACAGAAATGCAGTGGCCATATATGCTTGGCTATCATAAACATAGCAGAGGCCCTGTTTCCTTTGTCATTACACAGCACCTTGTGCTGGTTTCATCTTAGATGCCTGAAAACATGCAACAAAATCTTTCTTCCCCATTAGGCAACTACAGATATCTGAACTGTCTACTGCACAAAAGCAATGCGCTCCCTCTTGCAGACTCAGGCCACTGCAATTGCAAGAGGCAATGCCTGAACTGTAGTTATTCTTGCAGGAAGTGTTATGGGACCACACTCCCAGTCTTGCTTTTTTAAAAGCCTGGTGAAGGTGCTCTTGAAATCAGCTGTCAGGCAGCAAGACTCTGCCCTACCTCACAGGCAGCACGAAGTGTCACAGTGGGCAAGACACAGGCAGCAAAAAGGAAAGGTGGAGGGACACCAATGAGACCCTGAATTAAACCCTGTGACTGAGAGCCCTTCACTGGAGAAAGGGGGAACACTCGAGAAGAAAAAAAAGTAGTTGTTTTTTTAAATAAGTATCTTCATCCTACTGAATGTAGGAACTTGCCACATGCTGGATTATTTGTGACTTACTCTGGGACAGCTATCAGGCCAAAAGAAAAATTATTCTTACTTTGCACATTACCACAGCATTGTAAAACTAATCACAGAGTTATACATGTGTTTGCTTACCTCTCCCAAAACACTATCTACAAGACCTTCTTTATTCAGAGCAGATGTAATCTAGAAAAGAACGAAGATTTCAGTGAGTACCCTTTTATTTTAGAAAGGTAGACCTCTCACTGATTTCTCAGATTGCAAAAGTGGAACATGTAGCTACTTTGCTTCCTGCAGAACAGTTAACATGAAACTAAAGCCATTTCCTTTTCCAGGTGATGGATTTACTGCTAATACCCCAGCACCCCAAGCTCTGATGGAAACAATAGCTGCTCTATGCTTTTAAACTTTTAACTGTTAACTCAAGGGCCTCAAACCTCACTAGAGCTGCTGGAAACCACAGTAATAAAAGGAGTATCAGAACATGAAGGACAAAAGCTTCAGTCTGTTCTGGCCAGGGAAAAATGAAGCAGTGACAATCCTTGTGGAGCAGGGAGCCTATCAGGAAACTGTGGTTTCAAGCACATGGCTGAGGGCTAGAATTTTCCACGGTATAAAAGAGTTTTTATACCTTGGAAAAAAATGCTTTTACTGCTTTGCAAAGCAAACCATGACTCCAGATTCAACTAGGGCCCTCAAAACCACCAATTTATCATGTATTGAGTTTATATATTAGTTCAGCTTCAGGGAGCCTGGGTTTCCTATTGCTGCTAATGTTATCTACTGCTTTTGGTACTGTAGGCTTTATTTTACCCTTGGATGCTGGTTTGTGCAAAAAGCTGAGCTCAAATTGCTGGAGACAGTTTTCTTTTTCTTTTTTAATCACTGGATTACAATAAAAATGAGAAATCCAGTACTTGGTTTGCATGAGAATCACAGGTTTAAAGAAGACAATCCCCCCCATACTCTTAACAGCTTATTCCAAGAAGCTGAAATCTGTGACTCCCTTTTACTTTCCTTATGCTACCAGTAATATGAAAAACCAGTTGTGTTACTGAGTTTAGCATCATCTGGCTATCACAAATTTACAGATGAGCTGTCCTGTGTTGTTTCTTGACACTAAAAAAACATGGATTCAACTTCAATGTGGAATGCTCTGTTGGGAAACAGCTACATAAAAACGTGGCCTTTGAGCTCCTGTCATCTTTTTCTCAAATACTGAAATCATGGGGTAGGCCCAGCATTTCAGGCCACTCAGTTCAGCTAAGGCCATTTTCTCAGCTTCTCCCCATGCACAGGGCATATCAAGCCCAGAGCAACAGCAGCAGTAGGCTCTAGTCTCATGAGGTCAATCTGCAAGACCATTACTAAATTTCAACTAGATTTTCCAATTGAGATCTGCTTTTCAAAAGCAGGATTTCTCTTGATGTGCTTGCCTTGGAGTCACGCACAAAACTTTTGAAGCTGGGGACAGATGGTTAGCAAAAACATGACTTTTTTTCCCCCTGTAATCATATTAAGTTTGCCCTAAAGGACATTTAATTTGTATAAGTATAATGACACTTCAATGGGACCAATCCTTGAAAGTAAAACATTAGATTGATACAATGAAAATGAATCCAACATTCAAATCCACTGAAACAGAACTGAAGAAATACTAGACAGAGCACTGAAAGCAACAGAAGCCAAAAGGCACAGCAGGTATCTCCCTGTAACACTGTATCTCCCTACAACTGGGAAGAAACATCTTTAAAGATGTGCAAGTTGCTTCCTGGTAATCCAAATTTTTGTAAAAAAAGAAGGACTATCCCAGGTTTTCCAAGGTAGTTAATGATACCCTGAAAATTGCTTCCATGTTCTTCAACCAGAAAGCTTAAAACCAGATCATATTCCATGATGTTACAGTAGAAGGATGTCAAGTACCACAGTTACATGAACAGATTGAACGAATAAATATCAAAGCTTCTTGATGGGTGAGAATTTCAGATCAGCATTGGACAGTCAGATGCAGACATGCCTCTGAAGTCTGTTGCCTGCTTTGACATTTCCATGAATACTTAACCATACGTGGCATTGTCAACATTTTAGGCTGTGTTCTGCAGATACATTCATAAGTAAAGCTTTTAACACAAGCACAGCTTCCAGGCCTATTTACCTTCTTCCTTAGATCATCCTTCCTGTATCCCAAGAGCTCAAGGTATTTAGCACGTGAATCTTCTTCAAAGTTCACCTTTAAAAAAAGTTAAAGAATATATTGCGATTCACAATTCTTCATTTTCTCCCTCAAGGGCTTTTTACTTGACTGGCACAAACTGCCCAGTCAGAGCTAGTGGCTGAGTAGACTGAATGTAATAAAGAGAACTGCAAAAGTCTTCAGTGACTTGGGCACCTGGGCAGGTGGGCAAGGCTTCAATCTGGTTGATGCTTATCTGGTTCACTTGGAAACCTCTAAATGCTCATAGTGAGCAGTGAAAAGCCCATCTATAGCTATGCCAAAGCTTTATTCCTTCTCACTAGCTCCCTGTAGATATGTACTGATGGGGGATGCCAAAAACCACAGGACACCTTTACTCATGCCTTTGCTTCTGCCATGATTCCTCACAAACCCCCTGGCCCTGGGGACATGGCTTATGAGTGCTATTCCCACGGCCTACACCTTTTCATTCCCAGAATCTCTTCTGCTAAAACACCACGATGTGCAGAAGGAACCACTTCCACAGCAGTTTTCCAAGTCACTAGGGAATTCCTGAACAGCTGTTATCCCGTTACCTTTAGGAAGGCCCACACGTTCTTCTCAAAGTCAGCCAGGGCCATATCGATCTTCTTCTGGCAGTAGCTGACAAAGCCCTCGGACTGCACAGCCTCCTGCAGCTGTTTGGAGCGGGCCAGGAACTCCTTCTCTGTGACAACCTGGCTCACGTAGACATGGTGCTGCTGCTCCATGCCTGGCTGCTGCTGAGACTTGGCATTCTCAAATGTAACCAGCTTGCCTCCAAACTGGAATTGAAGCACACAGCGCGGCATGTGAAAAATACAAGTATACAGGGGAACACATATGAAAAAGTATGAGCATACACAAATGTATGCACGTGATTTTATATAACACATATATGCTTATCATCCAATAACTGAACACTCCTGACATCAACTCACTGATTTTTTTTTCCCCCATCACCCCATATTTCTACGCATGTAAGGAGCTTGCTGGATAAGTAGGTGAACATTTATGAGATTTAGGATTTATGAGCACAGCTATTCCTTTGCCTATTTTCTTTCAGGCAAAAGACTGACTAGCAACAGAGAACTAGAGCTGTGGGTCTATACAGTGCCCAGCACAAATGGAGTATCCCATGACACCGCAGTGCAGATACCAAAGAAACCCATGTATCATTAAATAAACGCTCAAGCATGATGTCTGCCCTGCTCCTGCCAGGCTGTTTACCAGTTAAAAGCCTACTGAGACATGGGCAGTAAGTTGTGAGACAATTTAGAGAGGTAAAATCAACATAGGAAAAAAACTAGGAGGGGCTTATAATATTGTTTCATTCTATAGCTCAAAGTGAATTTACACAGGCCAGTCCAATAATGGACAAAATACGCATTACAAAAAACAAAAGCCTAGCCAGGAAAAAGACTGACAATTGGCTTCTGGAAAACCAGGATGAATAAGGGAATAAACACCATTATAAAATGACACATCAGACAGTGACTAGGCAACATCGCTTCTCTTCGACAGGAGAAAATTGCATTTGATTTGTGCACCAGATCGTGAATAAGCAGACATATGATGCTGAAAATTCAGAAGTATTTCAGCAAAGAAATCCATTTCAAGTGAATAGGCTAAAATCTCCAGAAGAAATTACCTGTGGGTTTAGAAAATAAGCCAAAGGTGGAACCAAAGAGCAGATGATTCCGCTCTCACAAAAAATCAGGGCCTTCCCATCCCCTCACCTGGCTCCTCTGCAAATCAACCAGCCATGGAGGAACCGAGCCATGTGCTGCTACAGCAACTCCTGCTACTTTGATCAAAGCTGACCCAAGTATTCCCCAGCATATTGACTCACATAGTACCTTCGAACTGCACTCAAATCTCAGATACTTGCCCAGTTTGGTCTCATTCCACCTCCCAATGTATATTTGTTTACTCCAAAGCAAGCACTGCACATAAATAAAAGTGAAGCACTAATGCCAAAACAGAAACAAACAAATGTCTGTTGGCGACGTTTCTTTTTCCCAAGCATTTTTGTCAGGCTGGCTTGCTGTCCCAAGTGCCCCATCTGGAAGCTGCCCTGAGCATCTCCGACCACAATGACAAACAGAGGAAGCTCTCCCAAGGTGGAGCACAACACTGAACTTCCCTCTTCCCACAGTGTTTAGCAGGTGCCACCTCTATCTCCCTCCCTGCCTGGCCAACCACACCCAGCCTTGTCTCATCCTTACCGAGAACGATGCTCCCATGGGCCGCCGGATCCATTTGGGTGGTTTCTTCAGAGGCAGAACAACACTCTGTGGGGCAGCCTGCTGGGGCAGCTGCAGGGGCGGGAGGGGCTGTCCTGTACCAAAGGGATCAAGGTTCCCAAAGGACGATGAAAGCTTTGATAGCACAAAAAGGGGAAAAACAGATGAGACATTTCTCCATTAAAATAAACATAAGCGTCTATTTGCACCGAATTGGTGCTCCTGCAATCAGGGCTGCAGACAGCCACTGCAGATTTCCCACGAGCCCATGTTTTGTTCCCCCTCCCTCTCTGTCCCTATTCTTAGCCAAACATTTTTTAACACCTGGTCAACTTGCTTCTGCCTCAAGCCATCCGTGCTGCCTCCCATGATGGAGTAAACGCTGATCCGCCCGTCGAAGGAGGCCGCAGACAGGACAGCAGGGTTCCTGGGACACCACTGGATATCAAAGCACCACTGTGTGTTCGTGGGCAGCTCGTACAGCACCTGGGCAGCAAAACCAAGTCCAACAAATCAGAGCTTTTATGGAGCACCATGTCCAATAGCAACAATTCCCCTGCCTGCCCTGAGACTTGTCTGCTCTTCTTGCTCCCCGGCAGCCTCCACATCACCACTCACACTAACAGTGGGCAAACCCTGACAACCCCCAAACAGCTGATTATCACATACCACTGCTTCATTTCCTTCTCCCATTAGATCTTGTGTTTAATCCACACAGGACAAATTATGCAGGTGGGGTATGTTTGTGCTGTCCCCCACCATAAGCTGTGAGCTGCTGACATCCATTCTGGGTTATTCAGAGTTAATTTAGGTATCCCCATACACTACACAGAGAGATGTTCAGGCTCTAAAGTAAATGTTTTCACAGGAAAATTGGAAAAGGTAACGCATTCTGGACAGAGAGCTTGTGCCTTGGAACAGATAAGCCCCTTCCTTACAGCAGACATTTAACCATAAACTAGGAGAAACTCAAAGAACAAAATGCTAAATGCTGACAGCAAAATTTTCTCCCAGGAAAATGTTTTTTATTTTTAATAAAAACACATAGTATGATTCATCTACACGTAAAACCTTCATAACAGCACAAGATCCAGCTCAGATAACTCATTTACCACCCTGGAACTTTTGCACTTTTGGGCCAATGTTTGAATTCTAGAAACACTTCTCACTTCTACTCCAGGATTACTGTCCACTGCAAGCAAGGAGCCCTCCAGCATGCCTGAAGCACTTGACGTAGTCTAGGGACAAACACTCTAGTTGGCTGAAAAGCAGATTTGCATCCCCTTTGAAAGGTATCCCCAGGCCCAGAAAGGTGTGTGGCAATGCAGTAGGGTGGCTCTTACTGATCTGCCATTACTGTAGTAAGCTACAAAATGCCTCCTGTCTGGATAAAAGTTCTTACAGAAGGAAAAAGGCAATTGCAACAAAGATCCAGCCACAAAAGGCCCAAAACAAAAGAGTAGGAAGCATATTTAGAAGTTTAAGAGGAGCCATTTCCATCTCTTATAGTGAACAGGGACATTACTACTCAAGAGGAGAGAAGTAGCAAGGACAAACATTAATATTGACAATACTAGGAAGGAATCCTGCATGACCAGAACAAGCTCAGAAGACACACATAGCAACACAAGTACCCAGGATAGGGAGAGACATGTCACAGAAGCATCATTCCTAGGAATGCAAGCACAGCAACAGGTGCTTTGCATGTGCCGCCTCTGAACAGAGATTTTTAATTTTTTTCGAAGTGTTGAGCATACAATACCTCTCCTGTGTTAGGGTTGGAGCAGAGGATTTTAGCATCCTTCCCACAGCTAAGCAGCAGCTCCGGATCCGCCATACTCCAAGCAATGGCCAATATACCCCTGCATGAAAAGTCACAACCAAAAGAAGTTTCATATAAATGAAAAACAGTGATAAATAAAGCATATTTGTAAGTTGAGTTTCTACATTAGCTCAGCACCTGACTGGCCCACTTTTTCCTGGAGGAGAAACTTTCCAATGCTATCAGCAGTTTATTTGTTGAAATACATGCTTTCTAGTTTGTGCATGAAAAGTTATAAAGCTGCAGCCATTGTATCTGAAAATTAAATGCAACAGTCCTACGGGAGAACCTGGACACCGGTCTAACAAAATGGTTTGTTTGCCTGTATCATTAACACAGAGTGTGCAAACCTGTAGGTAAGGTCAGTGACTATCAAGTTTGTCAGCTTTTTATTAGCAGGAGATTCAGGTCAGCAGAACCACCGGCAGCAGTTTTCTTACTGCTGTTCTCGCTCCTTAAATCAAGCAGTGCTTTGGGGCAATACAGAAAGTTTCACTCACAATTGAGGAGGGACAAGAATTTAACAAAATCTTCCAAAATCTACCCAAATTTAAGGCATTTAGGGGACTGAGAGGCAGAGAAACTGTGCAAGTCCACACATGAGGACACGGTACACAGTCACTAACAGCGCTAACGCCATGGAGCAGCAGGTTACACAAGACTCATACCTCGTGTGACTTTCTAGAACACGAAGCGGTGAGGAGGCAAATCTCAGGTCCCACATCTGAATAACAGGCAGCCTGTCATCCTCCGAGGCCAAAACCATCTGGGTAGCAACATCAGGGTGCCACGCCAAGCCCGAGCAGTGCATCTGCAGGACAACATTGTGCCAAAGCATCAAGTAACTAAGCAGCGCTAAAGGAAAAAAGAAAACTAGACCAAATTCATCTACGTGCATGGTAAAACACTGTTGTGAGGGGATGTGCAGCCATGTTTCTGGGCATTATTTCTGACTGCATTCAGATTGGGATATTCTCCTCATTTCTCTGAGTGAGGAGACTTGCAGTTAGTTTTCCGAGGTCCTCTCAAAGGGATGATGTTGTGCTGATTTTTTTCCACAGCCCTACGTTTTAATGTGAGAAAACTGTAAAGCCCACTGCACAAACCTTTTTCTCTACCGGTTTTATTGATATTTTTAATAAAAGCTATCATTAGGCAGAGGTTATTGTCATGTGAACATTGTATCAGAGGACTACAACCACATGAAGAAGACAGCCTACTGTGCTGCTGTTATGTTAGGCAACAAATACATAAAACATCAAGTTTATCAAAATAAGAGTGTAGTGACCAAACAACTACTTCACAAGCACCCTTTTCTCAGTTTCATTTTAAACTCTTGCTATATTTTCAGAGTTTGCTAAAGCAACATTCCATTTAAAATAATACAGAATTATAAAAATTATACGATCTCTCCAGAAGTTCAACAGGCTCTTTTTTCACATTTACACTGCCTAAGGAGCAGGCATGGTGGTTACAGCTACACAAGGCGGTGTTCCTGTGTTCCTGACCTGCTCAGTGCTACACTCCTCTGTGGTGCTGTCCACTACAGACCCTGCCCTCTCTCAGCTCAGCTGCAGCCTGCTCCCATGTTCACACCCAGACCAGCAGAAGCACAGACCCTAGCTCCATCACTCAGTGTCCTGCCAGGGCTCATACCACATGTGATGCCAAGGGAGGATGCTCTCTCTGCCTGAGCACCAAGCCATGAGGTCCCCTGCTCTGTGAAACAAAGATGTGCTCCCCCAGAGCACATCAGCTGTAGCCTCATCTCTTCAGCACATAAAACATGTCATTTCTGACCAAGTGAATAAAAATCTTTTTGTGGTAGCCCCAAACAGATCAGTAAAGGCTTTTTCAAAACTAACTCACCACTCTGATACGACATCTGAGCACCTCGTCTCACTTTTATCTGCATCTGTCTATTTTTATTTGTAATGTTGACAATTCCTCCTTATAAACACGGCCTTATAACAGAAAACTGGGCCAGGCACCAGTATCTGTGTCATGTAACAAGGGGTGCTGTGACCTGTTCCCACATGTCAAGAAGCAACCCACACATCTCTGCCAGCACCTCTGCAGCTGCACAAGAGAAAACTCACCCGGTTATTGTGGTCACTGACTTTGATGATGGGCTCGTTCTTCCTGAGATCCCACACGGTGGCGCGGCCACTGGGGCTGGCGGATGCCAGGATGTGCTGGACTTGCCTGTTCCATGCGATGCAGCTGATGTCCTCAAGAGGCTGTTGCACAGAACAACAGCCTGTCACAACCTTTCCAAACTGAAGACTCAAACCCTGCTAGTTTCAGGACTTGATAAATGAGAAATCTGCTCAGAGACTGATCCCACATGCTGCGTGTTCTGGTTTCCTTTGTACACAAGCTGTAGGGTACAACTCCGGAAAAGCCTGGTTTATAACCTGCTGGCAGTTCTCTGCAAACTTATTTTCTGCTTTACACTATACGTTAGTTACTGAAACAAGACTAAGCACAGCTGTCTTCAAGAACGGAAATTACTCCATGGAAGTATATCAGGGTATATGAACTGCCATTTTGTCTTGTTTATTAGCTTTTGACTTAGCAAAAAAAAAAAAAAAAGTTTGCTTGGAGGAATTCTGTGGAGGTTTTTTATCTCCCCCCCCGCTTACTTTTCAGACCAAGAATTAAATGCAGTGTTAACCCAGTCCTTTTTGCCCTACTATTTCCAGCTATCATTAAGCATATGGACTAAAAGATGTCCCAGCCTAAAAAATGACTATTAGACATATAAAAAAAAAATATCTCTTACACGGATCTTTAAGGTGAGCATCCTCCCAAATGCCTACATGTTAATAAATGATTTGAACTAAACAAAGTAGCCAAACCCATAGAGTTTAAATTAAAAATCTTTAAACTGAAGATTACTTCTCATCCCGTTTGCTCACTTCGTTGTCTCCAAATTATCATACAGTAAGAAATCCATTTTCCAGTAACCACAAACTTCTTGTGCAATTTTGTAACAGCTACAAAAATGTACACGCATTGAAACAACTTCCTCCCATTCTTCTATTTCCTTCACAAGGCCCATAGCACAGAAGACTGTTGTTTTTCCCCACAGATCATCTTTAAGAGACATGGGCTAAACACTTGGCCTTGAGTATAGCAACTAAGCCACACCCTGAGACCCACAAAGACAACTGCAAAACCTACTGCCTCATCATCTGACTTCTCAGTAGCTGCTTTTTATCTTCCTCTTATTTTCCTCTATGTACCTTCATGATCTTCAAATTCATCCATGCAGTGAAACATGCAGAGGAAGACTAAGACATGTAATGGTTATGGATATTTGAAGAGTAGTATAACCTGAGAGACCTTAAGGACTGTAGCTAACCTTGCCAGAAATGTAGCTCACGGCTAATCACAATTAACTACTACCCAAATTAGACTCCAAAAGGCTTTCCCCCACCCCACTTGAGACAGGTTTTAAAACTGTAAGTTTCAATTAGCTCTCAATTTAATTGGCATACATATTTTTCACTAGCCTGCTCTGCAGAATTTAATAAATACAAATCTGGTACCTGTGTCTTCACTCCTGGTGTCATTGGCGTAGCAAAGTTGTTCAAGTCCCAGATATAGATTTCAGACTCATTAGCACCAGAGGCCACCAGATTAGTCTGTAAGACACAGTAATAGACATTAAGAGTATTTTCAGCATCAGCTTTCACAGTCTTAGCTGCTGGGAGGCATCAGATCTGCAGGACTCTGTCGACTTGCCCTGTCAGCTCAGGGTATAGCTTTTGGCTCACACAGAGCAGCTTAGGAAAAAAGGCAAGGTTTTTTGAGACTGCAGGTAAGATTGAGTTAATTAAAAAACATCCACACACTAAACTAGACTGGTATGCTAAGACCAAAATTCATGGAGTGCTCCTCCAGTGCACAGCAAACACTCAGGAAGGGGCTGCAGAGGCACAGCCACATGGGCAAGGGGAAAGGGGTGACACTTGCGTGAAGGGGCAGAGGAGGAAGCTGTGCTGCAGCCATGGCCAGCACAGAGCTTTGCTCCAGACAGAGTGTGGCATTTGTGCCTCTGGTGGACAGCACCCTGCTCACAGTGAGTGCAACCACCCAGGGCACTCCTGCACCTGGGATGCAAAAGTCCAGGCAGGGCAACATGAGCCAAGGGCACCAAGTGCCCTTTGACCACATGTCGTGGCTGATGACAAGCGAGTCTTGACTTCATAACAGGCAGAAAGGGAAAAGGAGCAATTCAGAGCAGATACAATGGACACAGGGCAGCCTTGCTGAAAGCAAGAGCGCAGGGACAGAAGTGTTATTTAGGGAAGGAATTCAACTCAGTTCTCACACAGCTGGTGGGGACCAGGAAAAACCACACTGTATCTAGAGGGAAGTAAATGCTCATTAGTGATGTGGGAAAGCTTGTTGGTTTTGAGAGCCCTTCTGCTAAAAAGGCCACGTGGCTGTGTTTTGCTGTCTCCTCTTTCCAAGCAACAATACTTAGAAGTCTTGAAGACGGATCCTACCTACTCCCCAGAGGAGATACCCAGAATCTGGTCTCTCCATAAGTATGAGTGAGAGCACATAATTACTTCCTGTGTGAAGAGAACAATACTGGCACAGTGCACAGAAGCTAAAAAAGGAGACTGGCTAAAGACACCACAGAAGGCCACCTCTACTTCACACATAAGCTGAGCTAAAAAGACTCCCTGAATTGGCAATGCAAACTGACAAAGGGAAGGAACAAAGCAGACACCTCAAACGCTTTCATACCCCATCCTGAAATGCCAGTAATAACAGGACAGGATTTCCCTACTAAATACAAACAGACATTCAAATGCTAAATTTAGTTCACGCTTTTCATGGGAGGGGAAGCAACAGAAACATTTTTTAGGTTACAAGTGAAGACAGGCCACTCCTCTATGATGAAGAACAGCAGAAAACCAACCTGGAACATGTTGACATCGAGGGCTCTTACTGGTCCCGTGTGCTTGTCTTTCTGGGCAATTATTACTTCGGTATCTCCATCTATGATTTTGGCTGGGTCATACAGGATGACATTTCCATTTTCACCCCCAGCAATCAGGACTCCAGAGACTCTCTCCCCCGAGGTCATGCTGTGCGGGCCCCAGATCAGCTTGTGGTACCTGTAAGGCACAGAGGACCCAGTCTACAACCATCCACCACCAGCTCCCCATAGAAGGATGAATTCCCTTTTTGCTCACCCCAGCTAAAGCCTCTTCTGCAAACAGATAGAGCAGGCATGTCAGAGAAAAGCACTGCCTGCATTTCTCCTTAAGGATGAGTCTCTGTACTTACAACTCCTTCCATCAGAAAGACATGTCCCATTCTGCTCGTTAACAAGAGGCAGGGTCACAACAGGAACAACCAATTACCTGGAAACTGATAACACCTCTAATCTCCTGGTTGCAAAAACAAGTAAGTGCACCCAGCTGCACATGATTTTGAGCTCACCTTTGCAAAACAATAGGAGTACTCAAAGTAAGGACTGTAAGCCCATCCAACTGCAGCCTGGAGAAAAACTTCTGCTATTTGCCAACAGCTTCACATAAGAGGGGAAAAAAAAAAAAAGGTGGAACTAGAAAAATTCTACATTCCTTCCCATATCTGTGCTTTTGGATGTGCAAGCACTTCATCTGCCACACCAGGGGCTCAGCAAGTGGTTTGCTCACATCACAGACACACCTCTTGGACCAGAGTCTATTTTCCAGGTTAAATCACAAGGAACTAAACACACTTCCAGAAATTAAGAATTTCTGCACCACTGTGTCCCTCTGTAAATACCCAAATTTCCTTCATCTCAGTGAACTTGCTACATAAGCAAAACAGCATTCCTGTGCATTTAGCCATGTAAGGAATGAATTTCTTCCAATAAAATGACATAGTTACCCATCAGCTCTTATGCAAACAGAAAGCAAACCCCACAGACCGGAAGGTGGCAAGGAGCTACTTTAGCATTCACTGTATTATTATTAATCTCTTTGTTATCTCTGGGAAGTCTTCAAGTAATTTCTTTTAATCACAGCAACTTCAGCAGGATAAAATACATCCTGCAGGAAGCTACACAAAGAGCATATGCTGGGTGAGAAATACTGTAACAGCCAAGTGCTGAGTCTCTCACTGTTCAGATTACAGTGGGGGTTCCCCAAAGAATGATGCTACAAAAGGAAATTGGTCTGTGATATCATACAGCCTCTTTCCCTGGGTATGATTTTTATACTTCTGCACCTAACCATGAAAGTTGAAGAGAAATGGAGCGACTGACAGGGTTGTCCAGGCACCACCAGCAAGACTGAACAAGACTTCAGATAATCCAAAATGAAGGTAGAAAACAGTAAGAAACAAAAAAGCTGAGTCAACTGTTCAACTACCTTCTTCTTGCCCTTTGCTCTTTCCAAGATAAAGCATGGTTCTACAAGAGCAGTGCAAAACTTTCCTTGGAAAGGATTTATCTTTTGTGGGTCTAATCACCAGGACATTTTCACTTGCTGCAAACCAAAATAAAGCCTGATGTATACACTGCTATCTTATCTTAAATAAAAAGACAAAAAAAAAACCCCTCGACCTCCTTTGTAATGCATTTTCTGGGGCAAAGTCAAATTTTGTGTTGCTCATCAAGGGAGGTACTTTCACAGGAGCGCTGCATCCCAGCTATAAGGAGGGTTCTTTGAAATTCAGTAAACAAGTAACAAGCCTCCAAGAATCTCAGTCATAGTTAAAACGGTAGAGCAATGAAATTCTAAAAGATCAAACATCTCATCCTGCTCCGAGCAGGTCAGTAGGACATGTTAACATCAGCTTTGCCCACCGTGCAGGGCATTAAACAGAGACCGTGGATGTTTCACCCACAAGGAGCAGTAGGCACCGGACCAGCTGCCAAAGAGCTGCCACAAACGCTGCTGAGATGGAAATTGGATGCTCTGATGCTAACAATGTCTCTCTGGATAAGCATACAGTAAGGAACTAAGCACTAAAGTGGAGCTGTACAGTCAAACTTGGCTTCCCAGCTGTGGGAATACATACGACATGACTCGATTTAGTTACGTTACAGGAGCCTCCCTGAAATGCCTAAATACAAACAGGATGGGGCAATAGGAAAAGTTAGTACTGCATTTTCACAATTTCACGTTTTCTTCTGTTCTCTTGTGAATCCCAGAGGCTCCACATACACACTCAAACCTTCCAGCCAATGTCAGATGTTTTAGATTTATGTCCGAGCATGAGCTGCTTGCAACCCCTTGCAGTCCAAGCTCACTGCCCTACAACATCAGTGGCACTCGTGTGCCTTCATCTTTCAGCGCTGAACTTCTGCTCCTGTCCTCAACAAATGCAGACACACCACATGAAGCGACCTTTCCACACACACCACGTACAACAGTTTCACAGATGTTACTTTTTCCTTAACAACACTGCCTACCTGTGGGAGGAGGAGAATGTGGCACAGGTCTTCATATCCAGTGAAGGATCTGATAAGTCCAACTCAAATATTTCTAGAGAAGCACTTGTGCTGAAGGTGGCGTCCAGCTGCTGAGCTGATGTACCTGCGAGGAAGCACGACTGGCAGTGAGAAAGCCACTGCACAAAGCACTGACTGCAAAAGCAGCACAAGGAGGGACATAAAAGCAACATCCTTGCAAAAAGGACCCCAAGACGGGGTTCAGGTTTCTGTTTCTGTTATTTAGATGCAGTGCTACATAACTCTTCTCCCCATGGTTCACCCTTCGGGTGTTTCTTAACCCATATCAGCAGGAAAAGCTTTGGGCAAGTACCTCTCTCTCCCTGACGATGCACAGAAGATGATCAAAGTTACAAACAAGCCACAGGTGACCAGCAGTTAGGATTGCTGTCACCTTTCCCTGGAAGAAGGAGGAGGATGGCTTGCTGTCACTTGCAGAATGCAAAGCATGTTTTCATGCTGGCACAACTGGAGAACTCTACTCAAGACACCACAACCTATACCCTGCTCCAGCCTCCAGGACACAAAGTAACTTCTACCACTTTCAATTAGGGCCACTCAATGGCAGCTACTGCACATAGCCAGAGGTTTGTCAGTCCATGCTTCCCAAAAACTCACCTGTGGCCAGGTAAATGGGGTGCTGCTGGGCAGGGCTCCATGCCTGCATGGCAGTACGATCTATTTCCTTCAGCTTCATTTTGCTAAAAAATAAAGACCGAGAAAAGTGATGCTTAAGTGGAGCATGGTGAGGCTGCACTGCCACGGATTCGGCTGCTGCACCAGGACTTGGCAGGAGCTGCCAGAGGGACTGTTCTCCTAAAGATATCCCACGGACAGGCACCTCAGCCATCCTCTCCAGAGCACACCCAGGGGGGAGGGGAGGAACAAGTCCCCGTCGGCAGAGTAACATCGACACGTAGGGGAAAGCGATGGTTGCTGGACATAACACAGGAAAACGTGGGGCAATCCCTCAACTGCTGCGAAAAACCCTCTTCCAGCAGCACCAAGGGATCCACCACCCTACAGCAGCTCTCTGCCTTGACCCACCAAACAAACCTGCTCCCGAGAAGACCCTCCCTGGACGCCCTGCCGCCAAACACCCTCAAGCAGCCCATTTTTGGGTCTTATTTCAACACCCCTCACCCTCGGGACTGGTACCCACGCCCCGCTTCCCACAGGAGCCGAAAGGGAAAAGGAGCGGAAAGCCGAGGTTCCCCCCCTGCCCGGCTCACCCCCGCGTCCCCGGCGCTCAGGCGCTCCCGGACCGCTCCAACGTGGCAGCCCCGGCGCCGCCCCCCGGCCGACACCGCCTTCCGGGCGCGCCCCGCGCCTTCCGGGCGGCGGCGACGGGGACGCGCCTTCCCGCGGCGGGAAGCGCCGGGAAGGGCCCGTGTGGTGGTGGTGGTGTGATGTGTGTGTGTGCATGGATAGGGATGTGCAGCCGCCTCCTTCCTCGGGGTTGTCCGCCGCGTCTCTCGGGGCAGGCGCAGCCATGGGCCCTGGGGGAGAGGGAGACAGGAGTTAGGGGATCTAGAGCAGCCGGAGAAGGGGGGGCGATGAGAAAGCGGGGAGCGGCGGCAGCGCGGGGGCTGCGGTGCCGCCTGTCCTCAGCTCCATGGCAGTAATCATGGCGTGCTCAGGATGTGAACAGCAGTGAGGCTCATCATCGGACAGGGGCGGGACGGGGGGCACAGCCCGAGGGAGAGACCAGCCGGCATCCACGGCCGGGGGGGCGGCAGCGCCGGACCCACCTCTCGCGGCAGCCGAGGCGCAGCAGCGCTGCCGCTCCCCGCCGCCGGGCTCCGCGGCCGCTGCGTGGGCACACGGCGTGGCCGGGGCGGGCGCAGCCCACGCCTGACTGGGCAGCGCTACCGGCACGGCGGTACAACGGGAATGGCGGGTAGTACGCCTGGCCCCGCTATATATATATAGGGGTGAGGAGCGCCGCTCCCATTGGCCCCGAGGATCGCCGCTCGCCACTGGCTGCGCCCGCCGAGGCCGCCGCTCCCGGTTGGCTCCCTTCCCTTCCCGGTCCCGCCCTCTGGACAGCGGGGACGCCGCCGCGTCCAATGGGACGGCGGTCCGCCGGCGTCGCCAGCCAATGCGGGAGTGGGCGGGCCGGGCGCGCGGGGCGGTGGCGGCCAACGGGCGGGCCAGCGCGGGGTGCGGGCGCGGCGGCGGCGAGCGCCGGTTCCGCCATGACGCGGAGCTGTTCCGCGCTGGGCTGCACCGCACGCGACACCGCGCGGAGCCGCGAGCGCGGCGTCTCCTTCCACCAGTGAGCGAGCGCCCCCTGCGCCCCGGCCGCGCTTCCCGCGCTTCCCGCCATCCCTCTTCCTCCATCCCTGTCTCTCTGTCTGCCGCAGGTTCCCGGTGGACGCCGCGCAGCGCCGCGCGTGGATCCGCGCCGTGAACCGCGTGGACCCGCAGAGCCGGCGGCCGTGGCGGCCTGGCCCCGGCGCCATCCTCTGCTCCCGACACTTCGCCGAGGGGGACTTCGAGCGCTTCGGGCTGCGGCGGAAGCTGCGGCGGGGGGCCGTGCCCTCCCGCTTCCTGCCCCCGGTGCGGTGCGGGCGGTACCGGCCGCGCTCCCCGCGCCCCCTCCCCGCGGGGTGTCCCCGTGTGCCGTGACCTTCCCTCTCCCTCCCCCACCAGGAGCCGCCGGGCGCCGGCCGGAGGAGGAAGAGGAGCAGGACCCGCGTGCGGGCGCTGAAGCAGCCGCTGCGCGGCCCCCCCGGCGGGGACCACAACTACAGCCTGCGGGGCCGCCCCACGGACACCCCGCGCACCGTGGCGAGCCTCCTCAGGATGCTGGTGAAGAAGCGGCAGCTTCCTGAGGAAATCGTGAGTTTGCTGCGGGCGCAGTTTTCAGGTACTGCAAGGGACGCTTGCTGAGGTAGACAGAGCGTGTGCTCGCTCCCTCATCCCGGTTTTGTGTCTTTGCTTGACTTTATGGTGCTGGTGATCCCCGACTGTTGGGCTCCTAGGACCTCCTAGCTTTGTGGTTTCTAAGTCCGGAATGCAGACACCAATCCTACAGAGAATTAAAGTCTCCCCCAAAAATCCAGTTGCTTGAGGCTGGGTGCAGCGTTCAGGTCAGACCTATAACCAAGGCTGTTAAATCAAACTATGCCACCATTCAGGTGTCACATGACTCAAGAATAGAGTGTATTTAACTAGGAAAACCTTGTCTTTTGTGCTGCCCAGAAGTGGCTTCTGTTAACACTGATGATCTAACCCGAAGAAGCCATTTCAAATCACAGAGTTCAGCTGTAAGATGCTGGCTTCTTACTTGCTATGTCAGTTTTTAAGCAGCACCCGTGTGTGAGATTCACAGTCTTTACTCAAAACTGCAGAATGACATTCACATCAGACTTCAGGACCGAGTGGTTCCAGAGGCCACACCCCATTGCCTTGTGTTCTGCAGTGTATTTGTATCACGCATCCCTCTGTTATGAGCCCTTTATTTGCTTCACTAAAGCTGATCTCTTGTGATTTCTTTTCGAGCAGATTTGCCTTTTGAGCTGCACAGCTGGAGGCAGATGGCAGAATACTCACCAGAAATGAGGCAATTTGCCTGTATTCTCCACCTCTACCATATTAAGGCCTATGATTATCTGCGGAAGATTTTTCCCCTCCCTCATCCCTGCAGCCTGACAAAGCAAGTTTTTACTCGTTCCTTCATTCTGAATGTATTTCCAGGTACTCGTGTAGGAATAGGTGTAACAGATCTGTCCCGAAGAGCAGTAATTCAACGGTAGTAATTTTCCCTGCTTTGTTTTTAGTAACAGGAGCAGAGTGGAAAGCAGATGTCAAGGAACACGGATAGCCCTCAGAGAGCTGGAATGTGTTCCTGCATGTGGGACACAGCATAAGAATAACACACCTGCACTATGTCCCAGGCTGCTTATCAGAATTTACTACCTGAAGTGCTGTCAGACCTGTCAACAAGAGGTTGTAATGACAGACAAAACAAAGCCTGAAGGAACTCTCCCCCTGCAGGTTTAGAGCCTCAGACTCCTGTAGGGCAGCTGGAGGATGCTCAAGGGATACACACGTTGTCCATGCCAGCCTGTGGGGGTTTTACGCAGCTTCCTCCAAGGAATCTTCTCACAGGGGTGGCAGGAGATAGTGGATAGGGTATAGTGTATTGGGAAGAGTAGCATTCCACATGGACTGCTGAGGGGTTCACATCTTCCAAACTGGATTACAGTGTCCGGTGTGGAGAAAGCCAGTTGGGAAGGAGAGCAGACAAGTGTTGCTGGCCCTGTACATAGCCTGATTTGCACTTCTGTGGTGTAATTTTTTTCCCCCTGTTATCATGAGATCTTATACAAGGTGCTTTCCTTGGCTTCCCATCACTAGGATGTGAGAAAACAAACTCGCACTACTAAGAAAGGCAGGGCTGCCAGTTTTACACTCTGTCAGCCTGCTCTGCAGTCCAGGCATGGCTGACCACATCCTGAGGGGTAAAAGGTGCTGACTGTTGCTTCAGCTTTCTCAGAATCAAGTCTCAGAATCACATCCTCCTTTTTTTTCCAGTTGGCTGTCTAATAACGAGGCTGCTGCAGGCTTCAGCAATGACATTTTTCTCCGGCTTCAGGAAAAGGTGGAGAGAGGGGATCAGGCCTACTGCTACTGTGCTGTGATGGTACAAGACATGTCCCTGCAGAAGCAGCAGGAGTGGGACCCACAGACCAGGCACCTGACAGGCTTTGTTGACCTGGGAGCAGGCATCCTTGATGCTGATGAGGCTCCGCTGGCCTCGGAAGCAATAATCCTCATGGCAGTCGGCATCTCCAGTCCCTGGACAGCTCCACTGGGCTACTTCTTTGTGAACAGCATGACCGGCCGCTTGCTTGCTCAGCTCTTTCATCAGACCATCAGTAAGCTGAATAACATTGGGATCACGGTCCTGGCTGTGACATCAGGTGCCTCTGCTCGCGGTGCTGAGACCGCCAGAGCTTTGGGGATCAGGATGGATCCCGAAAGGATTCGGTGCACTTTCCATCATCCGCCTGGTTCTGCTCACAGCATCACATACTTCTTTGATGTTTGTCACGCGCTTCAGCTGATAAGGAATGCTCTGCAGTGCTTCCAGAAAGTAGAGTGGCTCAGTGACACCATGTGGTGGCAGCATGTGGTGGAGCTGGCAGCTCTGCGGGAGCAGAGGGTGTTGGAGCCATGCAGTCCCTGCTCAGGCAGATCTGGGAGCAAAGAGAGTTACCACCTGAAGGTCAACTTTGCTACACTGTTGTTCAGCGAAGGTGTTGCCGATGCCCTAGAACACCTCCAGAAGCTGGGCCTGGCCTCATTTCAGAACTGCAGTGGCACTGTCAAGTTTGTGCGTTTGATGAGCTCTCTGTGCGATGTATTTTGTGGCAGAGGTCCCTATGGAAAGGGACTGAAGGTGCCTTTGCTGGCTGGAAATTACACCAAAATAAGCAACCTCTTCAATGAGGCCAAGAGCTTCTTTGTCACCTTAACAGACTCTGTGGGGAGATACATTATTAAGAGCAAACGCAAACTAGGATTTCTGAGTCTCTTGCTCAATGCTGAAAGCCTGAAGTGGCTTTACTCCAACTACATGTGTCCAGAAGGCACTCCTTCCCACCACCTCCAGACCTACGCCTTCAGCCTGGACCCACTGGAGCTGTTTCTCAGGGCCCTCCAGCAGGCCTGTGGCACCAGTGGGAGCCCCACCTGCACTGTGTTCCAGGCTGCTTATCACAAACTGCTGGCCAGCTGCAGCCTGTCACCAGGCTCACCACACGGCAGTGGCTCAGGCAACGTGAGCTCCTTGGACGCATCCCTGTCTCATAGCAGAGATCTGACCCTGGGCAGCATTCGTGCTCAGTATAACCCAGCTCGTGGGAGGGCACTGGCAACAAAGTACCCCTTCTGCGCAGGCCTCCTTTTGCACAGCTCCGCGCTGAGTAACGCGCTGACGGACCTGTCACTCCACGCATGGAGCGTCACCTGCGCCGCCAGCTTCGTGGCTGAGCAGTTGGCCTGGGACTTGCAATGCGAGGCTTGTCTCGCTTCCCTCTTTGACTCAGATGAGAGCAGGCTGAGGTGCAGGTCAGTGCTCTACGTAAAAAAGTTAGGCAGAGTGAGTCTGCCCTCGGCAAGCGTGCACTGCATAGCAAGCATTTCGGAACGAGTCCTAAAGCGGTACGGCAACGTAGGGGATGGCAACAAAAATACCAAGCTGTGGCATTCGTCTCTAGAACAGAAAGTCTTCCAGGAGCTTCTGGGAGAAAGGCCCCTCTTCCCCACCCTCACAAACCATTTATTTGATGGGGAGTTGAGCATCAACAA